AGGTTTGAAACGAGAGGATTCGGATAGGTCTGCAGTTTGTTATGGAAGGATAGGTATCTGGATTGGGCCAAATCGGAAACATATGGAACATCAAGGTCTTTATGGATGATTTTATTTGTGACAAAGTAAGGAGCGTTGAGGATTTTAATTAATTAGTAAGTGCTGCAGTAGTCGAAAACGTCGGGCGGTTTCTAGTCGTTTCAGTCTGGTATGGGGGTTCCAAGTGAGTCGTTTGTTAAGGTGGAGTCCTAATTATCGGATTTCTTCGACAGGGATAAGAGAGCAATTGTTGAAGGATACTGTAGGACAGGAAGTCATAGGTTTACGACGAAGAGTGAAGGTAATTTGATGGGATTTATTGGAATTTATTTTAATCCTCCAGTTTTGACACCATTTTTTAAGACTTGTGATTGTGATTGAAGAGTTTGGGATGCAATAGACGGATAGTTATTAACTGATAGGATACACGTGTCATCGGCATAGGTGGTGATGACAGTGTTGGATTGGGTTGGGATGTCAGCTGTATAAACTGTGTAAAGGATAAGACCTAGGATACTACCTTGAGGAACACCGGCAGACTGAGTAAAAAGAGATGAATAAGCATTTTTATGATTGACTTTAAAGTATCTGTCAGTAAGGTAAGAACGGATAATGAGGAAGTATGTAAGTGGTAGGAATTTACGGAGTTTGTACATCAGTCCCGGATGCCAGACTCTATCAAACGCCTGTTCAACGTCGAGAAAGACTCCCGTGCAGTACATTCCGCGCTCCAATGCAGAGGAGACTAAATCTACCACACGATGGCATTGCTGAATAATGGAGAGGGATGTGTGGAATCCAAATTGGTGATCTGGGATAATGTGTTTAGAGTCTAGGTTGGGATACAGGCGTTTTAAGATGAGTTTTTCCAGGATTTTACCCATAATGGATAAAAGAGAGATAGGACGGTAAGAGGATGGGTGTCCTGGCGGCTTTATGGGTTTAGGTATCATTTTGACAATGGATAGTTTCTAAGAGTCAGGAAAATATGTGGTTCGGAGTACATCATTATATATATATATATATATATATATATATATATATATATATATATATATATATATATATATATAGGTTAGGAACAGTATGGCTTTTTTAGGAAGAAATTTTAGGATCTGGGATGCGATTAAGTCATGGCCAGGAGCTTTGCGGGAAGGTAATCTATGAATGATATTGGATATTTCTGAAGGATGAAATGCTTCAGGTGGAGGAGTCAATTGGAGTGGGATATCCAATTCTGCTTCAATAGACTCAAGGTGGGTTGGATTAAGGATATCTGGGTGTGGATTAAATGTTTTTGAGAGGTGCTGAGCTAATATTTGAGATTTTTCTTCGTCAGATCTGGACCAGGTTTGGATTTCAGTAATAAGTAGGTGGTTAAAATCTTTGAATTTAATGAGCTTTTTAGTGGTCAACCGTACTGATTTGTCAGAAGTAGTAAGTTTTTCTGTCATGTTAAGTAAATTTTGAACTTTTTATTTTCTAATTTCAGCTTTTAGTTGGTTAGTTAATTTGTTTTAATATGTGTTATCTGATGGGTATCCAGTCCTGTGCCACTTCGATCTTGCTCTGCGTTTTTCCCTTAATAAGATACGAATATGCTGCGGCAAATTTGTCTGTTGGGAGTTGACAGTTTTAATGGTAGATGTATTATCGTTTATTTTGTCACTTATAGATGTAGTAAGTACTTCTATGGCTGTATCAATGTCACGTTTCGTCTTAAGTGGAATATTTAGGTCCAATTTATTTTCCAGGTCTTTACGAAATTTGTCCCAGTTCACTCGTCCTGTAATCAGTGTAGGAGAGGAGGAGGGCGCAGGAGCGAAAGTTGTGTGTAATGAAAGCAGAACTGGAGAATGATCTGAGGAGAGGTCATCCAGTGATTTGATTGTGGCATGGGAAGAGGAAATTTGAGAGGTGACAAATATGTCCAGGATATCAGGGCGTTTTTTTGAGGGATGTTGGTCAATAAGTAGGATTCATAGGAGAGAGGACAGAGTAACTATTGGAAGTTGAGACAGAAGATAGTATGTTACCACGGGAGTTGGATGATCGACAACCCCATCGTATGTGTTTAGGATTGTAATCTCCTCCAGCAATAAAGTGCGATCCGGAGGATTGAAATAAGGATTCAAGTCAGTCGTATGTAAGAGTATGACCAGGAGGACAGTATACAACTGAGAATGTTAAATGGAAAAGACAAGTTGAAATGATTACTGATGTTGCTTGAATAGCCTCAGTTGGAGTAGAAGGAATGAGAGAATGGGATAAGGGTTTATGGACAAGAATGCAGGAACCGGCATGGGAAGTGTTGTCGGGGTGGTCTGATCTATAAGTGATATAGACACGTATGTAGAAATATAAACGTCGAGTGAAGTGAGTTTCTGTCAGCAGAGCAATATCAATGAGGTAGTCATGAAGAAAAATGTCGAGTTCGTCTCCGTGGTTGTGTAGTCCGTTAGCATTCCATAAAAGAACAGCTAGGGGCTTTGTGCTCATCGTGAGAGATTGAAGGGATTTTCGGTAAGGATTCTTGTAAGGAGGGTGATCAGTGGCTTGATAGTCTCTTGGAGATCTTTCAGGAAGGACGCAAGGGTGGAGTTTATTAAATCGATCGGGTTTTGTTGGTCAGGTTGGTTTTGATTAGGAGTTCGTGAGGGAAAGCTCTTATGATAAGGAATGTTTGATGAAAGATGTACCCTTGGAACTTGGAAAGGAGAGTAAATATGAGCAGTGGGATGAGAATAAACAGGAGTTGGATGTTCAGGCGGTAATTTTACACGTATAGGTATCTGGTGAGGAGGCATTTGCTGAAGTGGAGATTTTGAATGAATTTGGGAGATGTGAGTCTTGGATTGGGAGGTCTGGATCTTATGTTTGGAAGCCTGAGTCTTAGGTTTGGAAATTGAGGCGTCTGACGTCGCGGCTGTTGATTCTTCACCGTGGTATCGGAATATAGTTGCCTAGAGACTTGATGTGGATGATCTGTTGATGTAGAACGGTTATGTGTCAGTTGTGGTATTATTTCGTTCGGCAGTTGAGGAAACGCTGCCAAATTTAGAAGTTCAGGTGCCTGTACCTGGGTAGGATTCTTCTGTTCTTCTTTTTTTAATGATATATTATAAGTTCTTTGCTTATATATAGCTTCTTATAGATAATGCAGCCCCGATAGATTGCAGGGTGGTCCTCACCACAAAGGGCACATTTTGGTGGTTCATTTAACGGTTTCTGGCAGATGTTAGAGGCGTGATGCCTTGCGCATTTAACGCAACGCACCGAGCGATGGCAGTAAGCCTTTGATTGCCCTAAGTTTTGACACTTGGTGCATTGCACGACTGTAGGTTTCTGCTTCGGCTCTTCAAATTTTACAATAGAATACAGCAGTCTTTTAACATTGAAGATTTCGGAATTATTCCGGGCTGGTTTTAAATCGATGAAAAATAATGGCAGTCGGTATTTATCAATTGGATGTAAAACAGAAGATATATGTATTACATTATGGCCGATATCTTCCAGATCTTTTTTTAAAGCGGTAGTGGGTGTGGTAGAGTGAAGACCTCTCAAAACCACCCTATATGTTTTGTCTTCTTTTAGTTGATAGCAGTTGAAGTCATGATTGAATGCTGTCAAGTGATTAATAAGTTTTTTATAATCATCTTTAGTATTGGTATTAATCTTTATGTCGTTGACTCGAGAAAAACACCGGAAGTTGGTCGGTCAGATCAGATTTGCTATTTCTTGACCGAACTGAATGAGCAATCTTGCTTACATATATCGGAGGTGGCTCTGGTTCAGTGAAATTTCTAGGTTCAGTGATTTCGTTACTTTTATTATTGGCTGCAACAGAATTTTTGCTGGATGTGTTAGTAAGTGGTTTAGTGTCAGGTTTCATAGCTGAATTATCACTATTGCTACTTTTTGATTGTTTGTTTACTTTGAGTGATTGCTTTGTTTTAGCGGATTTTTTTTTATTAGTTGAGTTGCCCGCCGAACCGGTGGCAGAGTTTCTATGGCGCTTTTGGAGAGTTCGCCTTGTTAAATATTGAGAATCCGTCTCACTGATTTCGGAGAAAGGAGTCCCTTCATCTAATTCGTCAAAAGAAATGTTCTTATCAGATTCCATACCTGTAAATAATAATATATACAGAAAGAAGAGAAAAAAAAAGTATCACTAATAAGAAAATTTACAAAACAAGTAATTAATAACTAATCTATTTACAAATCTATATACAAATATTTAAAAAAAACATTTTCTGTAAATAAATAAAATAGTCTCAATAAAAAAAAAATTAAAATAAAATAATGAATTAAGAAATAAAAACATAAAAAATAAATAAAAAAATACGCTGTCTTAGTTACGAACTTAAAATGAAGCGCCGTGACCGTGGACTTGAAAGATAAAAAAAAATACAAAACGTATTAAAATAAATAACTTTGACTTATTAATAAAGCAACTGTATTAGAGAAATGTTGTCAGAAATAAAATTCAAATACTGCATTATATAAAACAGATTACGAATTAATTAAATTTTTTTAGGGAGTGGGAGATGACGATATTTACCGGGAGCGCCAAATGTCTAAGGCCGTCATTGGTTGTTGTATATAGTGTAGAGCGGTTTCCGGTACTTGGACGCAAAGCTGGAAAGTTTCGTCAGTTACCACTCCACAAACCTTCTAATTTCAAGAATGGCCCATTTATTTAATTATTGTAATATATTTTACTTAATTAGTGCTTAAATAAATTAAAAGTGACTTTTTTTAGTTGTTTTATTTTTATCAGCGCTTTTATTTTTGAACGGATAATAAAACTTATTTATAAAGTTATTTATTTTGTATTGATAAATGCGAAGATTTTTATTTTTTATATTATATATTTTTTGCTTACTAATTTGTTTCTCTTATTTAGGATTGATGAAGGGGTAAGGGAGTGTACGTCAATGAACGAATCGCTGTTTGCAGCGAAACTTCTTGAGTATGTGGCAAGTTATGGGTTTGATACCTCTATCCCTTATCTAAAGTAGTTCCAGTGAATACTGTTCTGCTTGCTAGTGCATTTTTCATCTAGTTTATTCTTCTTGAGTTGAATCGTTGTAAGTTATCTGATCACAGGAAGTTAATGAACTCACTCTGTTTTGGAAAACCTTTGGTAAAAGTGGGCGTAAGGTTATTCCTATGTGTAACTGGTGTAGCCATGTTGAATTAAAGATTGATAATATCCATGGTGTTGGAGGTGGAAGTGATTGTTTAGCTTTCCTGAGGGGTCAATAGGGTAATTTAAAGAAGATTAAGTATTTAGTTGAAGCTATTTTATAATAACCAAGATGTCTCAAATATTACCGATACGCTTCCAAGAACATTTACAGGTAATATTTAATAGCTGTTAGTTTCTAATTATTAAGGATTTTTTAACTATAATTTTGAATATGATAAATTATTTTTACTTTATTAGTTTTATTTTAAATATTGTATGTGTTGAAATTCACTTAGTTTAAATTAGATCAGAATACCAATCCGCCCCTGCAGTTACTTAGTTTGTAATCCAAAAAGTTTACTATCAGTTGGTAAAATATGCATTCTATCTCATAAGTATTTTGGTGGTGAATATTTTTTATCTACTGGTTCACTTTTTTTTGTATGGTATATTTTAAAGGGTGAATATATTACCTGTTAGTTGTTGTGTTCTGTTTTAACACTTGTTTTAGTTATGTGTTTTGACAGCTAAACATTAACATGAACTTGTCAAGTCGTTAACCATTTATTTAGCGATTGTTTGTTTCTGGTCTTCTAAAGTCAGTAATCTGATTTAGTTTTTAGATAAATGCTTATATTATGCATAATGTTGCAACCTTTATATTTCTTTGAAGTAGATAATGTTTTAAGTTTTAGTTATCAGTTTTATGATGATTTTTCAAAGTAATGTGTTTTTTTTTTATCATTTCTTCAGGTAAATTTATTTGTTTTGTTTTATTGAATTTATTAAAATAGGTTCTAATTATTTTCTTTACAGTTTTAGGTCTAGAAGCACAGAATATTTAAATTAATATTCAGTGAGTTTATACTAACTTTAAACAGATTATTACTGTACTTTTACAACAGTTATTTATTTATTCTGCTGGAAAAATGTATATGCAAAGTTCGTTTCCAATACATAACATAACAGCGAATCAGTGTTTCCTATATCTGTAAAGAGGGGTGTATTTTTTATCATATTCAAGTGCATTATCTCTTCCGAATGATTTTTACTTCATATTTAATTGTATGTTGTAGTTTCTCTCCAGATTCTTTTATTATGTCCTCTACTTTGTTTTTATTTACTTGAAGAACTTTAAAGGGTTATAGATTGTTTTTAGTTGTTGAAGTTTAAAGTTTTATTTTGCTTAATACTTCTTTTGGTTGTCTATATTTTTTTGATAACCTCCTGAATTGAGCTTAAATGCATGGTCCATGAGGCCAGTACAGGAATGCTGCTTGTATTAATTATTTGTTCATATTGTGTTAATGAAAATAAAAATGAAATGTAAACAATATAAAAAAAGTTACATAATTAATGTCAAGTAATATTAACACCATGTACATCAAAAGAATCATAAAATTAATTCTGTAAAATAGTATAATAATAGAAATATAATATATACATAAAGTAAAATAATATCTGACTATTAGGTATAACTTGGTAGTGAATCACTATATTGTAATTTGCTATAAGTATATCAGTATAACAATTAGATAAAATGGAAGAAAAATTAAATATTTTAAGATAATGCAGTATAAATTGTATTATAGCATTAAATAATTTGTAAAAGTATTCGATATTGAATCAATTAGTTTTTGAAAATGAATGGGTTTTATTAAGTATTTTATAATTCATACTGAATATTGTAAAATACATGTGTTCTGTTCTGGACCGTGTTTCTTGTTTTAGCAAATGATTATATATCAGTTTATTTAAAAAAGACTACATTTTCTACACAATGTGATTGTTCATCTTCAATATATTTGAAAATTTGTGTATTGTTAAAACATAACAGGTTCTGATTAAAATAGTGTTGATTATAATCTGTAATATCTACTTATCTGTGATTTATAGTATAATTTGGGCTTGTATTTGTGTAGACTCAGTTATTTTGGATAGGAATGGAACTAGAATTTTTTCTGGATGGGTCTTTTTTCACTCACTTTTAATAAAAGTCAATTATGTAATAACAGTATTTTATGTTTCAAAATACAATACTATCATAATATTAATTCATTTTTTAATCTGATTGAAGGTCATGACAATCAAAAAGCAGAAATAAATATGTTTTACTTAACCTAACTTTATTTGAAATTTGACACCCAGGGAAAGCGCCCCTGTTCACTCTCTAGTTCCAACAATGTTTGTTGATATTAACATCTGTTATTGTCCATTACTTTTTCTCTCCATCCTTAGTTATTTGTTTAAAAGCGGTGCTACACGATGCCCTGAATGCTATTAAAGTTCGCGCGAATGTAGGTTCAGAGCATGTAGTTCTCCTTAAAGGCCAATTGACAAACATTAATGTTAAGAGCATGTTCCACCAGGTATCGCTCTTTAGACGGACATCAAAGGAATTCTAGAAATCAATAACTGGCGAGTATATCTATGTTTTACATGGCTGTACTGTGAATAGCTATAAGGGCGTTAAAATTTATATTTTTCAATTACTTTTTAGCCTTTTGATTTCATAAATTGTTTCTGAGGATGTAGAATAATTAAGAAACTCAAGAGTATTTTTATTTTATTCTAATTAATACTGTTTGCTTTTGAATTACGCTAAAGTTCATTTAGTACAAATTAATTAATTAAACAAAGGATTTTATTAATCTTCACAGTTGAATTATAGCTATTTGTTTCTGTTTATTTATTAGTACTTAAAATAATAAATATTACAAACCTAGTGTACATGTATTAGTAAGTTTAAATCAATAATAAATTATATAAACATACCATTAGATAAATAATCTTTCTTAAATTGTGCTTATCTTCTTTTTCTTCATTCTTCCCTCTAGATGGCTATGTCAGGAAGTAAAAATGTAAAATTAGTGGTTCTCCTTAGGTCCTCCAGACTTCCGAACAGCTTGGTCCCAAGGTCTTTTGGTTGGGGCCATATCCGCCTCTGTATTTCCTCAACCAGCTGGCATCTTTTCAGAATGTGCTTTGTGATTTGTTCATTTTGTCCACATTCCCATAGGGGCCCTATCTTGCATTTCCTGAAGATATGTTATTTTGTACAGTTATATCCAGTCCTAAGGCAAAAAATGACAACTTGCTCTCTTCTGGTTAGCATTGTGCTTATGAATCATATAACCTTGATGTTAAAAATGTAATTGAGGTGAAAAAAATATTTTAATTGAAATTAAAATGAATCAAATAAAAATAAAATTTCAATTAGATAATACTTAAATAAATAAAATTCTGCCTTTCTAGAATAAGCTGTTTTGTTAGAAAGACATTTATTGTTATAGTTTTGACTTGAATTCTCACTCATTCGTTTAGCCCTTCATTATCCCCTCTGGCTTTGAACTGATTTGTAGTAATTTTATTGTTATAAAAAAAAAAAAAAATTAATTAATGCTGTCAATAAGATCTGGTCCCATAAAAATTAAATTAAATCGAAAAAATAAAATTCTCATTGTAATATAGACAATTCATAATTATGTATGTACATATATTATTTTTAATATAAGTTAAATACCTAAAATTCATCTAGTCTATACCTATAATTCCTTCAAACCTATAATGTTCTGCTTTTTCTCATTCCTTGTATATCAGTCAATTGATCAAATAACCAATTCAAAAAAAAAGAGCTATACTACTGATAACCCATGAAGGGTCTTGAGTTCAGTACAATGTGGGAAAGTATTGTTACTAGGCCAACGTTTGTGGAGGAAGGTGATCTGTCCGAAATCAAGCTTCACTGCCTGGTTTTCCTTCTTAATTAATTATTTAATTAAGAGTACCCACTTTATTAAGGCTGGGTGTGCCCCAGGAGGCTATCCTCGCCCCAGGGTCGATCCACGGTTGATGAAAAATTACTAGTCATCAGCCGGATTTGTACCTGACACCTTGAACTCTAGAAGTCTGCTCACTTACTGAGCTACCCCGCTTCCTACGAAGTTAAGGATAGTTCAAACAAATATGTTCCATTATTTGTGTGTGTATTATTGAAACTTTATTTTGTAAAGACAAACATTAATAGATGTTTTATGCAATTGTTTTGTGTTTTATTTTGAAATTTTCATTGTTAAATGATCAAAATTAAGTCAGTATTAGTTGCAATTGTCATTGTTAGGGTATTAAGTCAGTGTTAGATTTATGTAATACTTATTATTGTTTAAATTTATCTTTCTTTAAGATTTAGGTAAATCAATTTTTGTTGTATTATATTATGTATTAACATATGTTGTTTGTTGATTGTGATCTGGGATTTAATTTTCAATGTTGAATTTTAATTTTTTTAATGATGTAGAGATGGTTGACCGTGATATAATATGAGGAGTTGATCAGCGGGTGCGGTTAAATTTGACAGCACTGTATTTGACCGCAAATACTACTACAGTAATAATAACAAAAAAAAAAATCGAACTCAAAACCTCAACTAATTTGATTTTGTACATATAAGAGATTTTGTATATTTTTATCCATTGTTTTTTCATTGTATGCACAAATAAAGGTTATTATTATTATTATTATTATTATTATTAATAAAGTATAAACATAATAATTATTAATTAAATCTTGCAGCACTGGTAAAACAAGTATTCACTTATAATAATAATCTGTAGTTAAATTAAACTCTTAATTTATAATTCCTTCCCTCCTCGATGGTACTACAACTCTCGAGGAGTCAGGGCCGCCTGCAACTTAGTCCGCCATTCTTCCCTATCCTATGCGGCTGCTTTCCAAATGTGGAGATTTAAGAGGGTCTGTGTGTCGTCTGCTACACCATCGGTCCGCAGTAGTCTGGGTCTGTCAACTCTTTTTGATCTACAGAACTGCTCTTATAGAAACTTCCTGGGTACCTCATCAGGTTCCATCTTGGCGATGTGTCCAGCCCATCTCAACTGCCCGATTGTGATACATTTTACAGCGTTAGCTTCACCATAAAGCTCTCTGATTTCTGTATTAGTGCACTGCCTCCATTCATCATTAACGCATACTGTTCCAAAGATCATTCTCAGGATTCGTCTCTCAAAGCAGAAGAGGGCTTGCTCCTAGGTCTTTAGAATAGTCCACCTTTCGGAGTCGTATTCTAAACTGGCCTGATTAGCTTCTTATTAATTTTGAATAAATATTTGGTCTGTAACTCGAGTAACTCAGTAATTTCCTAATTTTGAAATCCGTAACTTAAAATAAAATATTATGGAAGCAATATAAACAACATTAAAAATGCAATATTCGTCTCACATTTTACAAACCATTCACCTCATATTTGCAAACTATTTGACAAATGTTGACATGAATGTTTGCGCAAATGTTGAGGCCATCATGTAGCACCGCCTTACTTACTACTAACTTACTACCTTACTAACACAGAGCATGAATTCCTTGATGTATGTGGGCAAGAGCTCACTCCTGGTTGCCTCTTTCATTAAAGTGTTTGCAGTTTTAAGCCTCTTCTATGTAGACTAGATAAAATTTACTTCAAACGGAGATAGATTTTGTCATTGTTAAAACTATTTAAAGATGATTTTCGAGCGGCTAAAATAAGGAAAATTCTGTTATTAAAAAAATCATAAATTATTCCCGATTTTTTTATCATCCAACTATACCACAGATAGATATCCCACTTTTAGAAAAACTTCCTCGTTTAATTAGATTCAAGTCTCTATATTAATTAAGTAGAGGTTTATTTGGGAAAAATTAAGATTCATCTTAAGTTGTATTAAAACATTGTTATTTGTTATCTTGTCCCCTAAAAGTACCTGGGTTTTCAGTAAAAATGACTACAACCGATTGTTACAAAGCTTTTATTTCATTTTTTTCCATGATCTTGAATGCAATATGATAAACGTAATTGCCTAAGTACACTCTGTATTAATAAAAAAAATATATATTAAAGGTAATAATTTTTCATGTAAAGTGGTAATGGAAACTGTGTTTTTCACACAGATCTGTATTATATGAATTTGTCTTGAACGAAGTGAAATACCAACCACTTTACTAAATACCATTTATACAAAGTGAAAACTAAATGTTTCTAGTCCTAAAATTTACGTTTTCATGAAAATAATTGAAGCAATCAACGAGTTTCAAAAGTCCTCTTTAAATGGTTTTGACAATAATAAACTCTATTTTTATTTGAAGTAAATTTTGTCTAGTTTACAGTGAAGCAATTTTTAATTACATAAATTCAAGACATTTTTAGTTAACGCTTCCTATTTTACAAAAAATATGCCTTACTTAAAAAAACAAAAAACTTTAGATTTTTTACTTTTCTCCTGAAAATTTGCCCATTGTTTAAATAAACTTTCTTGTAGCCCTTGAGATCTGCTATCACTCCTATAAAAATTTCCCTCTACTTACGGGACACCCTACATAAATGATTCTACAAATACAAGAAAAATTAATAAAAAATATTGTAAATAACTGTAATATGGAAAATTTCTTTTCAGACTTGAAAATGGTTCGATGAGCCGAAACATCATTCCAAAATAAGGATTGGAAATAAAAACACGAGTGGTGTGCTATTGGCTTTATGAAATATAAATTGAATTATTGTTGAAACAATAAATTTAAGAAATTATATAAAACCAGAAAAATGCTATAACACATTGGAAAAACCATTTATCTAATATCTCCCATCGTACTTTTTCTACCTAAAACGTCTAAATTAGCTCCTTGACCTATTTTCATTAGAAACCAGTAGTCTCCTCGTTATTTTCTTGATATTCCCTCACTTTGACTATATGGGGGCATCTCTTGGGATCTCAAGGTAAAACTGAAAAATTTGATAAACTCCTTTGTATGATTCATCTTCGGAATCCTGAGGGACCCACCTGTCTCCTGTTTTTATGAAGAGTAGAAGTGGCTTATCGTTCCTCCTGTCCTAAATATTTCCTGGCATCCTTCTACCAAGTCATCCAAATCCGCTGTCCCCCATACATTTCCGAGCTGCTACAGTTTAAATCTTCTGTTCACTCCCACAATACCTGTTCCCGGTCTTCAGATTTATATACAACAGCTCACCAAACAGCGGCTTTTGACAGATTTTTCATTATTCGATCCTCGTCCCTATGGAATTATATCCCCTCCTACATCTGTCACTCCAATACCTTACCCACCTTTAAATCCTGCCTATTCAATCACTTCCTATCCATCCGGTTCCCGATCAATGGTAAATATCTTTTCCTGTAAATAGATATATTAATTATTAGTTTATGTATTTGTTTTTAACTATGTTTTTCTTTTTTTGTTATTCTTAAAGTTAGAAATTAATTTATAATTTTTGAATATTTCTATTTGTTTATTTCATTCTTCTTCTTATAAAACTCTGAGGCTTTAGAGCCTACAATTGTATTATTCTAAAGGGACTTGTCCCAGAATAAATAAAGCCTATTAATTATAATTAACACAGAAGTTACTACGATAATTACAATGAAATTATTTTTCTTATGGTTTTGTGTCATCCATCTATTCGCTTCTCCAACACTATTCCTCTTTTTTTTAACTAGCCTGAATTTAGAAAAACTGGTAAGATATTAATATTTCTATATCATAATTCAATTTTATGATATAAAAATATAGAGGAATCATAATTGATGTTTTATCTTTGCCTTAGACAGCTATTATGAGGTTCATATTTATGAAATTCTGTTTTAAAGAAATATAGTTTAGTTTAAATTATTCTTACGTAATCAAAAATTAGTTTTATTAATTAATTTTTTATTATGTTGTTTACATTATTTTGGAATTTATTTTTCAGCTTTCGAGCGTAGGAATAAACCCAACTAGTGTAGGCTTTAACACATTAACAATGGAGTCTGATAAGTTCATTTGTGTTCGAGAAAAAGTTGGAGAAACTTCTCAAGTTGTGATAATAGATTTAAATGATACTGCTAATCCAATAAGAAGACCTATTTCAGCTGATTCAGCCATCATGAATCCAGCTAGTAAAGTAATAGCACTGAAGGGAAAAGCTGGTCCTGATGGATCAACTAGTAAGTTTATTTAATTACGGAAATAATTTAATTTAATTTTATAACCAATAATATATTTTCATTTATGAATACATTTTCTTTACGTGTAAATAGTAATAATTTATGATAATGTGATTTTTGTATATTTTTAAAACTTAATTGTTTACTATCATCATTAGTTTCTATTTTAAAAAATAAGATATTTTTTCGATACTGTTGGACGGATAATTCAACATCGATAGATGAGAGATTTCATGAGTTTTAGTTTCATAATTTCAAATTATATATGCTTAGCTGGGGATTGTTAACATTTGAGTTAAAGTAGCATTGAACAGTCAAGAGTAAAGCACTGAAATATTATTTATTTATTTCTAACCCTGCTCTGCATTACTATTACTAACATCCATATTACTAATATGGATGTTAGTAATAGTGAAGAGTACTTGCTTTTGTTACCACCCACTGCTTCAAGAAAATATGATTTCCTCTTCCTGTGCACACAGCTTGTAGATATAGCACACAGCTATATCTTCTAGATATAGCCACCGTCCTCTTCTATCCTCCCTGATGCTCTTCTTGATGTAGCTCCTTCTTTCCTACACAATGAGAAATGCATTTTTATTCTGTGACCAATTTTTTTTTTTTCAGCTGTACACTAAGGTCCTGTAGTATGAATAGTTTTCCTTGATCATCCCTGGAGGGGAGGGGGGAATCATTTTCCGTCAGCATACAGAGCCCTGTCTCTCTCAGCTACTTAGCCATCAGTGCCTCATAGGTGGGAAATCTAAGATATCCTCGAAAATACTCCTGGGTGGTTATTTTTTTTTTCTGGTTTCAGCATTTACTATGGCTTTAGAGATAGGGCGATTCAACAGATGTACTAGTGAGGCAACGGTGTTTGAGTCCTCTGTCTTCGTCGGGATCTCGCCTCCCTTATTTTCAGTTACCTGCTTCTTCTCCCATGTTCTTTTCAAGTACCCCTTCAAGAGCTATCATGACGCCCTAGGTTGGTTACCTTCCGTTTGATACCGCCAATGAGTCCTTCGTTCAGCAGTACTGCTCGGACGATTTCCCTTGTTGTCATTTCCAGGTTAACTTTTTCACCCTCATAAGTGCCTCTTGTCTTGTCCAACTGGCCTCTTTATATGGGTGATGTGAAGCATTTTGACGCTATACTCATGACCAATCTTCTAAAATTAGAGGAGTTCGTTGTTTCCCTTTTGAGCTCATCTTCGAGTTCCTTCACCTGCGCTTTATGCACTAGCTCTCCTTTTGTTAACTCATTGATAAATGCTATTGACTCACAGACTTCTTTTGCATTTCTGCTCTGAAACCTATTATCCTTTAAGGATCTCTATTTGGAAGTGGATTACTTAGAGGGGTGCGTCTCCTCTGAATGCCTTTCAACCTATTATTGATCCTACTTCTCTCTGTACACCATTACAAATAAACTTAGTACTCTGTAGTCCAATGCCTATTTCAAAACTTATAATTTGTATTACCCACACAGTAAAATTCAAGATTCAGACCACCATAATTTTATTAAGATTTTGTTTTCAAACACTATATATTTTATGTTCTGTTCATAAAGTTTTTTTTAAATAGATTCCTCACCCAGCAAACTACTTAAATAAAACAAAAAAAAATAATGTTTTTTTTTTTAAATATATTGTATCATGTTTTATTTGCAGCTCAGAAAACACTGCAGATTTTTAATATTGAAATGAGAAGTAAGATGAAAGCACACACAATGACAGATGAAGTAGTTTTTTGGAAATGGATATCCCTTAATACGCTTGCTTTAGTTACTGAAACATCTGTTTATCATTGGAGCATGGAAGGTTAGTAATTTATAAAAAGAAACATTGAATATTAATTGATGTCTCTTTCAATAATCATCTTATGTTTCTATTTCAATTATTTTGTAATAATTTCATATTTCAAATTATTGAAATATCATTATTGCTATATTTCAAGTTACATTTAGTTAGACAATTCAGATTTAGCATAATTTACATTAAAATGGATGCACTTATATTTCATAGTATTGATAATTTATTTTTGTCCTTAATATTTTTAAATTTGCATTACTAATAGTTTTTTGAAGGGGTCTTGAGTTCAAATATTTTAAAACTCTTAAATCAATGTTGTAGCTTCATGTGAAATTTTCTACTCAGCTAAGTTGAAAATTTAATGCTCTTGCATATATACATAATGCTAATACGTATACATTAAATTAATGTACTTACATATAAATATATTTTATTTTTGTGTATTACATTTTCAACCAACTGAGTTTTTTATTGATTTTACAATCTCCATTTGTTGTTTGGGTATAACCAAGCTAATACCAGCCAAAAATTATGTCTTGATATGTTCTTGGAGTTGATAGAACAGAAATAACTATTAATGAGGTATGCCTATACTATTTTCTAATGCACCCTGCTAAGCATTAGAGAAGCTGAGCTAAACTTCTCTGGATTCTTTAGTTGATATCAAGCAACTACACATTAAATAAATTATATAGTGAACTAAATATTGATATATTTATGATTCGTTGAGATAATTCTTGAAAAATTTGTAAATAATATTAAGTACATTTCTCTATCTTAGGTCACTGTGAATTTACCGCTATGGGATTTCCTCTCTTTTTTGAGGATATATTAACTAACTCCTTTGCAGTCCATCTTACAACAAACAGGAGTGGCTCTTGGTCTACTCAGTGAGCCTCCGCCAATCTCTCTGATGTAGCTGCCTTTCACAATTTAAAATTGCTGAGGCTTCTTGTGTCCACAGTCAATCCATCAGCCTTAGTCTTATCCTGCAAGCTCTTCTAGTTTGACAAAGAAATTCATACTATACTGTCTTCAGGGTTACTTTCTCATTCAACCTGGCATGGTGACCAGCTCAACTAAGTCTCCCATGCTTGATAGACCTGACCACATGTAGCTCTTCCTAAATGTTGTAGAGTCCTTTATTCTTTCTGTTTTTCTAGCCTTCTATAACTCTCACTGAACCTAAATCTTTTATTTATTTTTTTTGCTCTTTGAGATATTTCAGGACTGTTAGGCATAGGTGAGAACAGGGTGGATCGAATTCCTGTTGATGGTCAGTTTTGTTTGTCTGCTGAGATGCCAACTGTGGATTGTCTTCAGATACCTGAAGTAACACCAGTCTAATGTAGTCAATTTTTTTCTTACTTTTGCAGACATATCATTAGGGGGTATGGCAAAAGATCTGAAGTCAGTGAACTTTTTCACAGTCTCAAATGTGTAGGGATCTTCTTCAAAACCTGTGCACAAATGTTTGATCCTCACTTTATTAATTATGTGTCCCATGGATGAAGCTAGCTTACAGCCAAAATTTTTACCGCTTGAGTCTGGTTTACCGAGTCGCTCCCCAACTTTTTCAGAGAAAAGTTAGAGTCTACATCTTCCTCTCTTAATTTCGTTTTTAGAGGAATAAAATACTTAGCAGAACAATCCAGTTGTATCCAGACTTGGTATCTCATATCCTTCGTTATCAATTTCACAAGGTGAATCAATTGGCTTAGTACATTTATCTTTGACAAGGCTTTGTAAAGGTTGGTGCATTTGATGCTATCATAAGAACTTCTGAAATCTATGATTAAGTGATAGGTTAGCTCCTCGCTCCAAGATTATCTTCAGACTAAAAACTTGTTCAATGGTTGATCTATGCCTTTGAAAGCCACATTAATGACTCCCTATTTCCTGTTCAGCAAGTGATTTATTAGGATTAAACCTTGCGGTGGATGTTCACAGGGAAGTGTGCTCTCCCCTCAACTGTGGTGTTTAGTGGCTGACTCTGTTGAAAGCCCTTAACACTGCAGGAATATATACACAAGTATTTGCTGATGATATTGCTATTCTAATTGGTGGGAAGTATCAGTGTGTCCTCTCTGATCTCCTCAAAACAGTAACTGACATCCTGAGGAATTAGGGTTGCTCAAATGGGCTAAGGATCAACCCACAAACTAAAAAAAAAAAGACTGAAGGAATCTTTTTAGTTCAAGATAAGAGATCCCACAATAATGCATGCACTCTAATTGGTCCCTTTTTTACCTTCACTTGTCTATATATGTAATATATACTACAGGTAAGAATTGTGATTGTAAAGATGTTTATATCTTGATTTTTCAATGGAAATACACGTTATGAGGTCTCCTGAGTCCAAATAACCAAGTCCTACAAAATGGTCCACAATGTGTGTGTGTTTGTGTGTGTGCGTTCATGCGTTTGTGTAAACAGCCCAGCTCAAAAACGAAAAGTTGTATGAAATTGAAAATGCATATTTCAGGTTTTTATAAGACTGGGATGTTACAGCAACATTTTTATCAAAATCGACAAATCGGAAGTGGTACTTTATATCATCCATTTAACACATTTTTACAATTTTCTCAAAAACACATCTTAACAATTTTGATTAAACTCAGTATATCAGTGTATTAATAAGCAGTTTTAAATCTACTGTAGGTTTTATTCTCATTGATGTTCTCTAACAGAGCTTAAATGGCTATTACCATATATTTTGTGTTAAGGATATATTGCGCTTCTCCGCTGCCTTGACACTTTTTTCCTGTTCCAGATAGATGACATCACACACAGCTCTATAAAGCTCCTTGAGCCTTATTATTTTTCATTTGTTGGATTGCTTCTGCTGCTTCTTAAAAGTTTCTGGGCTCAACTTCTCTGTCCTCTGGGATGTTGTATTGGTTCATGTCTTTATGGATGTTGTTTTGGTTTACATCTTTATGGATGTTGTATCGGTTTATGTCTTTATGGATGTTATTTTGGCTTACTATATCTTCTTTGTTCAGCAAGGATATGAAATGTGTGTCATACCTTTTATAAATGTCCTAAATGAAAAACATCCTGTTTTTTTTCTTGCAAGCCCAAGTCTTGGTCTGAAAGGAATTTTTCCACTGTTTACCTTCTGGAAAATCATCCAGCTCTCATGAATGTTCTTGTGAGCTTCTATATCTTTTAACTCTTCTCTCATACCCTTTTCTTCTTTTTTAGGATCTTCCATTCATGGTGCCTATTTTGGGAGCTCTCTGTTCAGGTGGCTTTTCCAAGCTTATTGTGTTCTTAGATTGTCTTATTCACATCCTCAATCCATCAGACAGTTCTTTCGGGACCAGATACAATGGTGGTTCTCACGACAAACAAAATTTGAGGTATCAACAACGATCTCCCTAAAAGCTCTCCAGCTCTTGTTTCTCATTTCAATCCCACTGTCTGTTGGTGGGTCAGTTAAGGTCTAAAGCCGTTCCTTTACTTCTTGAACATAAGTATTTTAACCTCTTTCAAGCAGTAAGATTTTATGACTTTTTTGAGGTAAATACGTCTTGTTCTTTATTTCACTTCATTCCAGGAATTATTCATCAGTAGGATATAATCCTATTTAAATTCTGGCATCCTGTAGTTCCCTATCTTATTTCTTCTGACCTCAATTTATCATTTAATTTTTAAAATATTGCTTTAACATTTATATAATATATTATTTGGCCAATTTTCTTAAATGTATGTATTAATTTTGTAATTATTACCTAGGTGATTCACAACCAGTAAAAATGTTCGATAGACATTCTAGTCTGAATGGTTGTCAAATTATTAATTACAGAACAGATCCTAAACAAACCTGGCTTTTATTAATTGGAATCTCTGCTCAGGTAAATTAGTTAGTTTATTTTTGTATTGGTTATAAGCATTATATTATTCTTGTTCATTTAATGATCAGAATTAATTTTAACTCTTTAGGTAAGCTTTTCTTCTTGGCATCTATTTCCTTTTCAGTTAGTTGATAATTTGCTCTTTCAGATACTGATTAAATGCTGTAAATACATCTTTTATCTATATTTTATTAATTGTTTCTATCCTGGAGAGGACAGAAAACCATATTACTGAGTCCAAGACGTCTCTCATAACCCTTTAACCAGAAGTAAACAACTCTCCAGAATAGACCCTCCTTCTCAAGGAGATAAGACTTATATGTATTGAACGTAATATTCCTCTTTGTGTCATTCTGTGTACTAACATTTACTATACGGTTGGTAATTTGGAATAAAAGCCTACTTTTCAATCTTATTTGCATAAAAAAAATATGTTTTGACTTTTTTCAAGTGTGTTAATGATTTTTGTATTTTATGAAAACAGGGAATAATAAAATTGGTGGAAAAACAACTGTTTTATAGTTTTTAATTGATGCATTAGGGGTGTTGGCTTTCAAGATCTAATATAATACTGACTTAATACTATTGTTCTTTTACCTTTTTTTTTTTCTAGCTAAATCGTGTAGTTGGGGCTATGCAATTATATTCAGTAGAGCGCAAATGCTCACAGCCCATTGAAGGCCATGCTGCATCATTTGCCCAGTTTAAAATGGAAGGAAACCCTGATGTATCTACTTTATTTTGCTTCGCTGTTCGAACACTTCAAGGAGGAAAGGTGTTTTTTTTTTTGTTCTTTGTAACCAAAGTATCTATAACAGATATATTATTGTTAATGACATTTAATTTTTATTACATTCTTGAATGTTTCTGAAGTATATTACTATAATTATTGATACATAATACATATAAAATGCGTTTATGTTTAATTATTATGGTGTTATTGATATGTATTTTGAAATTTTTTTAAAGCTTCACATAATTGAGGTTGGACAGCCTCCTACAGGAAACCAGTCCTTCTCCAAAAAAGCAGTTGATGTATTTTTTCCAGTAGAAGCCCAAAATGATTTTCCAGTTGCTATGCAGGTTTGTATCTATAGCGTCTTTTGTAGATGTCTTATCAATCAATAAAAATCATTAATTTATAAATTTTGTAATTTATTTTATTTAATTTATATAATTGTAGATTATAACTATGAATATATGTCTTTTTTATGTGTTAGGTAACTTGTTTATGAACCTAGATATTAGGGTTTAATTCCTAGGTCCCGTGTGACATTTTGTTGTTAAGATCCTTAATATGATTTATCCATATGCAGTTTTGTTAAGATAAGTTGTTAGTTACTTCATGAAAGAAAGGGGATGCTGAATCATGGATTTAATAATAAATTGCTCATAGTTTATTGCTTGCAAATGCTTTGAAAGCTACTTTTTTTTAGACTTTAGGGTTTTTTGGATATTAATTTGTTATATGTGCCTACTTGATACAAAGTAATGGGTTGGACACAATGAATTTGCGACAAATTTATGAGGAGTCTGCTTTATATGCTCTGTTAGCTAAGCACTTTAGTGTTTAGTTAGATATGTTCCAAACCCTGGAAATGGATCTTATGAAGATCCCAAAGCATTTAGACCAATATGTCTTATCTTTCCTAATGAAAACATTAGAGATGATACTAGAAAGGCTTATCAGAGAACACATATTGGCTACTAGTCCTATACATTCAAAACAATTTGCCTACCAACAAGGAAATTCTTGTGAGGTATCACTTCATAACTTGGTTACAAGAATAGAAAAGTCCTTAAAACAGAGGAAAATTGTGGTAGGCGCCTTCATGGATATCGATGGTGCCTTTGATAGAACCCCTTATGACAATATAATAGATGTGCTAAGCAATAGATATGTACACCCTATGTCCTCTAGATGGATTGTGAGGATGTTAGAGGATAAGGTTCTAAAAACAGAACTAAGACACAATGAACTGTGGATTAAACCTTGCGATGGATGTCCACAGGGAAGTGTGCTCTCCCCTCAACTGTGGTGTTTAGTGGCTGACTCTCTGTTGGAAGCCCTTAACACTGCAGGAATGTATACACAAGTATTTGCTGATGATATTGCTATTCTAATTGTTGGGAAGTATCAGAGTGTCCTCTCCGATCTCCTCAAAACAGTAACTGACGTCCTGAAGAATTAGTGTAGCTCTAATGGGCTAAGAATCAACCAACAAAAAGTCAACATTTGCATATTAGAAAAAGGTTTTTATCTAAATGCCAGAGATAAATGGGATCCAATTAACACTCAGCAAGGAAGTAAAACACCTTGGAGTCATATTGGACCATAAACTGTCATGGACTAGACATTTTCAATAATGACTAGCAGAGCCTTCGAATGCCTATGGGCTTGCAAAAGAGCAATTGGAAAGAAATGGAGACTCATACCCAAAATAGTTTACTGGCTGTACATTACGACGTCAGACCCATTATATTATTGTCAGCTTTGCTATGGTGGCCTAAAGCAAAGTCTGTAGCTAATAAACCTTATCAGAAAAGTTACAAAGGCTAGCCTGTTTAATGATAACGTGTGCAATGAGTTCTACCCCAACGGCCGCTCTGGAGATAATGTTGAACATGCCACCACTGCAGTTGGAGGTTGAAGCTCAAGCATTAAGGACATTATAGAGGCTGAGCAAGCTCAAAAGCTGTTCTTATATCCCCTTACATGAGGGCCATACAAATTTACTGCAAAGGATTGAGTGTGACGAAATTCTAGCCATGCACTCTGACATACAAATCCGAGAATATCTGGACACTAAATGTGGTGTAGATATTGATACCCGCAGACAACATAAACAAAAAAAATGGAACAAATTGTTATACAGATGTCTCTCTTACAGCTAATGGCTCAGGAGCAGGCATCTATTGTAAAGATAAAAATTACAAATTCTTAATTTCCCTTGGCAAATATGCTCCAATATTTCAATATGAATTCCTGACAATCTGCACATTGTGCTCAAAATCTATTGCACATAGTGACTGGAAAAAGGATAATAATCTATTTTGACAAACAGGCAACGATAGGTGCTCTAAATAATTATTGCACATATTCACAGGTTGTTGGTTGCAAGATTGCAGCACAGTGCTTAATAATTTTGCTTGGCTTAACAGGGTTGCCATTGAGTGGGTGCCTGGTCACTCAGGCATTCTAGGCAACAAAAAGGCTGACAAATTATCCAGGTTGGGTTCAGATACAATTCCTATTACTTCTGAGCCTGTCTGGAATCACTGCAGGTTAACCCTTTCTATATATATATATATATATATATATATATATATATATATAGGTAATTCAATTATCAGCTTATATTTAATATATATATATATTATAATAAAGTTAAGCAACATCGAGTGTGGTTAGTACTTAAATGAGAGACCGTCCATCAGGGTATGCCATGCTGCCAAAGCCTCCCCCTCCCCCCCCCGGTATGTGTGGCCCATCAGCCTACAGGAGGCAACTCATACTGACCAGTCTTAGGACTGGTGATCCTACCCCGTGTACTTAAATCAGGGTGTGGTTCACCAGGATGTCAGTAGCACCCCTGAGGTTTGGTCCATAGACAGTCTGTTTGGAAAAAGAAATATAGGTCCTTGTGTGCATCTGATTCTGAGCAGCCATAATCCATGGATCTAGATGGGATTGGCTGTGGAGCTGCAGGTGGCCTGCTGCTGCACCATGGAGACCATGGTTCGTAGCAAAGAGAAGTTAGATGACCCCCTCCAGGCTATCTGTGCTCCAGCAAGTATAGAGTCCACACCTCACTGCCAAAGATCTTCATTATCTGTAGCGCCAACTGTAAAAAATAAAGAAATATATATATATATATATATATATATATATATATATATATATATATATATGTATAATGTATAAATCAAATATAGAAAACTGACTTTTATTTGTTTAGTTGATAGAGATTCATGTGTACCAAAATCAGCATTAAGTCAAAACATAAATTTAAAAAAAAAAGAGAAAAAATTATAAAATTAACTTAATAACATTTATTTGATGTATAAAACATCCAACAAAGAATATAAATTATTATATTATTATTAAAACACTTTATTCAGAAATATTACAATTTGTCACAGTTTAAGGACACTTATAATAGAGTTCAGAGATTGCATTCATACCGTATATACAAAAATATAAATAAATAAAGTAATAAAAAAAGAATAAGAAGAAAGAACAAAAGAGTAAAGAAAAAAAAAATATATATATACACATAAGTAAATAAAAATAGAAATAAAAGTAAAACAAACACCTTATATAAAACATACCATACATTATTTACAATTTGCCAGGTGATCTCCGAACCAATCCTGTCCCCTCCACATGTGGAGGGAAAAGGGAGGCTTAGGAGATCCCTACGCTTCTCCCTCAGCCACTTCACTGGTATTGTAAACCAGCGGAGGATGAGTAAGAGCGCTACAGCCACAGACACTCATGACTTGAGTGGAGAATCTGGCCATTGCTAGAACTCCAAAATATCCATATTTACAAAAGGTCTCGTGGCCACTGCCGCTTTAACCTACGAAGGGGATTGTAGGGATGGGTGGTGCTTGATAGGGATTGTACAACGGGATTTGGGTGATGAGAAAGGTTCTGGTGAAATTTGGAAAATTTGGCTGGGATAAGATCAAGAATAAATGGGATATTAAGGTCATGGTGTAGGGTTTTATTGGTTACATAGAAGGGAGCATTGACTATTGTACGGAGGACTTTAGACTGAAAGGATTGAATGCGTTTGATGTTAGAAAATTTGGCTGTTCCCCATAGTTCTAGTCCGTAAGTCCAGATGGGTTTCAGTATTGTCTTGTAGATCAGTAATTTGTTTTCACCAGAAAGTTTAGATTTTCTATTCAGTAGTCTATATAGCTGGCCATATCGTCTGTTAAGTTCCTGTCTTTTAAGTCGAGTATGTGGATTCCATGTTAGTCGTCTGTCTAAGAGAAAGCCAAGATACCGGACTGTATCTGAGAAAGGAAGCTGGATGGAGTTAAAATAAACTGGTGGGCAGGTATTACGCCGAAGGGTGAAGGTAATGTGTTTACATTTAGATTCGTTTACCTTAATGCGCCATTTCTTACACCAGTGTTCAATCAGGAAGAGGTGCCTTTGTAAGTTTGCGGACGCTGTTTCAGGATCTGAGTTGGAAGAAAGGATAGCAGTGTCATCAGCGAAAGTTGCCAGGAGGGTATCGGGATGGACAGGAATATCAGCGGTAAAGAGAATGTAAAGGATGGGGCCCAAGACGCTGCCTTGAGGAACGCCAGCCTCAATTGAGTAACAGTCGGAGAATTCGGTGCCACAGCGAACTCGGAAGGAGCGGTCGGAAAGATAGGATCGGAGTACTAGGTATAAGGACTGTGGTAGATGGATTTTAAGCTTGAAGAGTAATCCGGCGTGCCATACCCGGTCAAAGCTTGCGCTATGTCCAGAAATGCACCCGAGCAATACTGCTTGCTTTCTAGGGTTGAGGATATATGGTCAACAACTCGGAGTCCTTGCTGGACAGTGGAATGTTGGGAACGAAATCCGAATTGATGAGTAGGAAGGTTATAGGATTCAATTATAGGTAGGATTCGTTTCAGTAGGATCTTTTCAAAAATTTTTGAGAGGATTGGGAGTAGGCTAATTGGTCTATAGGATGCTGTATTGTTGGAAGGTTTGCCTGGTTTCAAGAAGAGGACGATGGTGGAATGTTTCCATAAAAGAGGGAAGTGGGTAGTTCGTAGGATGCAATTGTATATATATGTAAGAAATATGATGGCTTTAGATGGAAGTTGTCGAAGGATCTGTGGGGTTAGAAGGTCATATCCAGGAGATTTGCGAGGAGTGATTTTCCGTAAAAGGTATTTGACCTCAGAGGGATTAACAGCTTTAGGTGGTAAGGAGAGTGGGATAGGTATTGAGAGGGATTCTTCTACTTTTACTGTGTGGCTGGGATGGGATTCTGGATGAGGAGCGAAAGTATAGGAAAGGTGTTTGGCAAATTCCTCGGCTTTATCTTCATCAGATGCTGCCCAGGAGCCATCATCTCGTCGAAGAGGGTGGGAAATATGATGGGATTTGAGGATTTTTCTGGTGATATTCCAAAGGGAATTATCATGAGCAGAGAGTGTGGTGAGGTAGGAATTGAATGATTGGGATCTGAAGGTGGCTAATTCTTGTTTTAATTTTTTACAGTGATAATTGTAGGAGTGGCGGTCGGCTGGATGTCTGGTACGTTGCCATAATAATCTGGCACGGCGTTTTATGTGGATTAGGTCAAGGAGGTGTTGAGGTAAATTATGTTTCTTAAGGATTTTTGAGGAGTGATCAGGGGAGGAAGCAGTCCAGACTGCTTCTTGAATTTTGGTAGTGAAGGAATGTACTGCATTGTCCAGGTCTTCAGGGTTTTCAGGGTTACTCTGAGGTCAATTTTATCGGAGAGGATTTGATGAAAGAGTTTCCAGTTAACTGGGCCTCTGATGAAGGACGGAGGAGAGGGTTTAGGAATAGGAGCTAGTGATACTTGGAGTATTAATGGGCTGTGGTCTGAGGAAAGCTCGTCAAGACGGGCAACGGAATGGTTGAGAGCACCTAAACCATTATGGATAAAGAAATCGAGGATATCGGGATTACGGTTAGGATCAGTGGGCCAGTAGGTAGGTGAGTTGGGTGGAAGAAGGGTAAAATTTTGGGAATTGAGTACAGACAGCAATGTTCGACCACGAGAATTCGTGGTTCTTGAACCCCATTGTTGATGCTTGGCGTTTAAGTCTGCACCCAAGATGAAATGATGTCCTAAGGAAATGAGGAAGGAACTAAATTGGATATTGGAGATGGATTGGTTTGGAGGGCAATACGCTGATGCAACGGTAATAGGAAAGGAGAAGGTTTTGATTACGACTGCGGTGGATTGTAGGAAATCGTGTGTAGGCAGTGGGAGTAGGTGATGGGAGAGGGATTGGTGCACAATGACTGCAGTACCGGCATGTGCTCTACCGTCAGGATGGTCGGTACGGTAAGTTATGTATTGTGGTATTTTTAGGAGCTGTTTTTTAGTCAGTCGAGTTTCCGTTATTAGGGCTACGTCTACGTTCTTGTCTTGTAGTAAGGCTGTTAGTTCGTGTATGTGATTTCTAACACCATTCGCATTCCAAAGGAGAATGGATATGGGTTTGATGGAAGTCATTTAAGGATTTTTTAAAGGAGGGATAAGGTGAGATACTAGGTTAGTGAGAAGTGATATCAGTGGGGTAACAAGGGATTTAAATTCTGAAAGAAAGGATGTCAATAAGCTGGTTAGATCTGTAGCATTAGGCGGTGGAGGAACATATTGGATTTGATGTTGGTGAGGTTGTTGTTGATTAGGTACATTAGGTGGGATAGGATATTGAGATTGGGGTTGAGTTTGTTCTTGCGGCAGGGCCTCACATACATTAGTCGGGTCTCTACCCCCAAGTAGCTTGGCAAAAGAAACCTTAGAGTTCACAATTTTAGCGGGTCCTCTTCTTGGTTTAGGTGTATCATCAGGGTCCCTGGGTTTCATATATCTCGCTTTAAGATTTTTATAAATTTGGCAGCCTTTGTAGTTGGCTGGATGGCCTTCCAGGCATAGGGCACAGACTGCTGGTTCTGTAATTGGTTTATTACACTCGCCAGACTTGTGTGTTTTACCACATTTCACGCAGCGTGGTAAGTGGTGGCAATAAGACTTGGTGTGGCCATATGCTTGGCAATTATGGCACTGGATGAACTCTCTTTTTGGGTACGGTTTTTCGACCTTTACGCTGGTGTAGAAAATTCTATTCACATCGTATATTTTTTCGATCCCAGGCGATGGCTCTAGATCGACGAAAAATAAGGGCAATGGGATTTTATTCTTTACACCTGGTTGTTCTTTATTTTCTTTTAATACATTGGTTATCTGACGTATTTTGAACCCTAACGCCGTTAACTCTTCTTTAATCACTTCTATTGGGGTTGAGGAGTGTAAATTTCTTATTACAACTCGTAGTGCTCTTTCCTGTTTCAACTGGTATGTGTGAAAGTCCGCATTTGTGTCTGTTAAATATTTTACGATTTTTCGGTACGCTTCAGGTGTGGCCGGTATTATTTTTGTATCATTTATTCTGTTTAGGCATGTATAGCTACCTGGGCAGATTTTATTAAGTTGAGTACACAACAACTGGAAATTTCTCAAATTTTTGACAAAGATAGGAGGTGGGCGTGGTTCTCGAGGTATAGGTGCATCTTCCATTTCTTCCCTGTCATTTTCAAGCACCTGGTATGGATTAGGTGTAAAAAATGGAGATTCCATTTCTTGTGAAGACGTACTTGGCAGTGGTTGAGACACAGATACTTGAGTGTTCGCTGGAGGAGTTCCGGGGGGTGTTAATCGCTTACTACGACGTGTTTTCTGTTTAGGCGGTGAATTACGTGGGGTAGAGCCAACTGAATGGGACCTCTTAGTTGACATTACTTGGTGGTAATATCGATAAAAAAAAAGAAAGGGGAAAAAAAAAATAAATAAATAAAACTACGTCTGCGTGTTATTACATTTGATGAACCGCCGACTGAGAACCAGTCAGTTACGTGGCGAGGCCACAACTGGAGTGGGGAGCCGTCAGCTGTTATGGCTATAGAGATTAAGCCTATAGATGCTAAACCACTAAATTCACTGTCTGTAATAGTACACAGTAAATAACAACACTACTCACTGTGGTGTTAGTCCATTGTTGTTGTTTTGATGTCTGCTTAACTAGTTTTTTTAAAAAAAAGTAAAACTGAGCACTTATTCTACTAAAAAATAGTAAAACTGTGGGACACGACGTGAAATGTGGGTATTCAAATCAAGCGCATGCGCAGAACTAAAGAATATAAATAAGATCATGTATTTGACACAAATAACAGAGAAACCACAATCAGAATCTATCAGCTCTCAGAATAAATCTGCAACTGACAGCTTCCTAATGGTCAAAATCCAGAACGACCACACTGATTCAGCTACAGGGGACTAATGAATGCACCGACCAAGCCACAAGTCAAATGCTGAAGGCAGGACTTGCCCCTACCTCTTTAAGTGGTGACAGCCAAGGTGGGAAGGCATTTATCCCGGCCTCAGTCAAAAGGTTAAATTATTACATGTTCAATCTCCGTTAGACTAGGAATCCTCTATGTAGATTCTGTAGGAGAATGAAACAGCCTTTCACATCATTTGTCGGTGTGACAGGTTTGCAAAGCTTAGACTTGAGCAATTTAGGGAAGACCGAGTTAGATGAGTTAGAAGCTGTGAGTCCATCAACCCTCTAAGCCTATTAAAATATGTGGAAGTGACTAAATTAACATTTTAGTAATAAAACGGATCAATACATGGTACATAATAGATCCTTAAGGGTCGCGGTATAAGGTTATTTGAGAAATATTTAGAGTTAAGAATGGCTTATGAGTTTAAAATGTGTGGTAAGATATCTTGTCTTGAGCTGTTAAAGGGTTAAAAACCATGGAAATGAAAGATTTAAAAAAAAAATTGTTCCTGACATCTTAGTAGTATTTGTTATGATGGTTCCCTTTAGACAGTTTTCCATTAATTTAATTAGTTTTTGTGTTTATAAGTTATTTATTTTCAACCTTTTTTAAATTTAAATTCCTTGATTTGAATATTGATATTAAACTAACATATATACCATTTAAACAAACAATAATTAAATTACTTCTAATTTCTATTGTTTCTTAGGTTAGCTCTAAGTATGATGTAATCTATCTTATAACAAAGTATGGATACATTCATTTGTATGATTTGGAAACAGCTACCTGTATTTACATGAACCGTATTAGTATTGATACTATATTTGTCACTGCTCCTCATGAATCAACTGGTGGTATCATTGGTGTGAATAGAAAAGGCCAGGTAGGAGTTCCTTAATAATTCTTGACATATAGAGTTATACTTTTTATGTTATCAGTTAATGAATATTTTAGTTTAAGTATTTTAGTCATAGATAACATTACAGTCAATTTTTACTTCTTTTTTTTTCATGTTGTCTGTTGATTTAAAAAATTGGTATTTGATTATGACTTCTCTTTGCCAAAATTAGTTTTCTCTCCATTAAATGAGAAGTTTCATGAAGTTGATATATTATAATGATTATTTAGTGAAGTTTATAAGATTAAGTTATACTTTATTTGAGTTCTACAAATGGGTAGTTTCTCTTCATGTTGTAAATGTCATGTTACCAATGTCACATTTACTTGTATTTTTCATGTAATACAGTTGTAAATTTCATTAAAATAAAAAAAAAAAAGTTATACTTTAATAAAACTTTTATTTAGATTTGTTTGTTGCAAAAGCTAATGATTCTTATTTATTTTAGGAATAAGAACTTACCAACAAGCCTTTTCAAGTTCACTAAGTTTCCTTAGCATGTGTTGTGGTCTTAACTTTGTGTTAATGTACCAATAATCATTTTTGTCTTTATTTACATATAATAAAAAATATTTTCACTCAATTATTGTTCCAAAATCAAATTTTTACTTTTACTTATCTGTATATGGAATATATAGAAAGGGAAAGAATTGTGTTCGTAAAAAATTTTGAATCTTGAGTATAAATCGGCTAACCGAAAGTGCCATTTTATGTAATCGATTTTACAAATTTTTACAATTTTCTCGAAAACGGCTTAATGATTTTGATTAAATTCATTATATTAGTGTAAAATTAAGCTGTATTAATATAATGTATATCATGTACTAATGGATGTTCTATAACATCTATTAAATGCTTATGTGTTTAAATGCCTAATTTCCAAAATTGCTTCCTCTAGAATATCTTTAATTTTTTTTATTTGAAATAATTAACCATTTCACATTGGGGACTGATATGAAAAATGGTTAAATATAATGAATGAAGAAAGTTGCTTGGTAACTAAAGGAGAAATAAGGGTTGAAAGATATACGGAAACAACCAAGAGCGCCCGACCTTTGCTGATTTTCTCCCGTTACAGATACCCTATACTCCTTCAGTTATTTCTGAAATTTCAATCAGTCAACATCTTAAAAAAAATAAAGTCAAAGAATTTATTTGTTTCTTAATTTAATGTCCTAATAATGTTTCTGATTGCAATATATTTATCTCTATTTCTATTTTAGGTGCTATCAGTGAGCGTTGAAGAGGACCACATAATCCCATATATCAACAATATATTACAAAATCCTGATCTAGCATTACGCATGGCTGTTAGAAATAACCTAGCTGGAGCTGAAGATTTGTTTGTTAAAAAATTCAATATGCTTTTCCAAAATGGACAGTATGCTGAGGCTGCTAAAGTAATTTTAACCTTTTATTTTCGTACATTACTAACAGATTTTCGTATTCTTATCTCTTACTAATAGAATTTGTTTAGGGAAGGGCATCATTCTTCTATTCATGAAATACTTGATTTGATTACTGCAGATGAATAATTAAGATTTCAAGTCCCTTTAAATATCTGTTTAAAATTCCTCATTTATTCATTCACCTGCTATTGTTGATTCAATCAGGCACATTTATTATTTCTTTTCTTTTCTTTATTTTACTTTACTTTTTCTTACTTTACTCACTTACTTTCTTTTTATTACTTTTCTTTTTTTTATCTCACATCTGTTGCATCTCATTTTATTTTACTTTTACAATTTATTTTTATATCTTTCCTTTTTATTTGATGCTAAATTATTACCTATTATATTTATATTATTTATGATTCCACTTAATTTTATTCCACTTTTTTTTTTTAATTTACTTCTATTCTTTTTCTTCTTCTTTTTTTTTTTTTTCTTTTCTTTTTTGGCCCTTGAACAAATGAAGGCCTGGAGTGCTTAAATCTCGGCACACATTAAAACGATATGCTTCACTATGTTTCATTTTTGACGGCATTCCCAACCATTGTCTTATAAAACATTTTTATATTCATCTGGCACTGAATTTATCTTAATTCCTTCCACTCCTTGGGTTTTATTCACTCAAGATGTTTGACAGCTTGATATTTAATTGTAAACGTAATTTGTTATTTTCTACTGATTTGACTAAGTTTTTAGTGGTGTAAATTGACAAGATTTTGGATCTCCATGTTGTTAATATTGATAGATACAGATAATTTCCTTTTGATAGTGGCCAAGATCTTATCACAATACGGGATTCAATATAACTTATTATTAAAAGAAAAATGCCAAGATCCAATTGAAATGTCACATGTTATATTTTTTATTCTTTTTTTCTTATAGATGTTTAAATAAATATTTTTAATTAAATGACATTATATTATTAAATAACATTATTATTATATTATTAACATTATTATTATATTATTACATTATTATTATTATTAAATAACATGAAATGTCACACGTTATATTTTTTATTCTTTTTTTCTTATAGATGTTTAAATAAATATTTTTAATTAAATATAATTATTTAAAACTTCTTCTTTCTCCTATGTGTTTCTCAGTGTGGACTAATCTTTTGGCCAGTTACCAACAAAGCGTACCAATTGTTCCCGGTCCTTTGCCAATGTCTTCATGGAATCCAGCCACATTCCTCTTTTCTCTCCTAATTGAGGCACACTATCCAACCATGACATCTATGGCCTGCCTGGATTATATTTATTGTATCCAGACGACATAGTGCTATTGGCTCTCTCTCCAGTTAAATGAGAGCTTATGATAAACCACCTGGAGAATTACTACTGTATGTGAAACCTACATATAAATCTGGCCAAATCAAAAATAATAGTTTTTCGCAATGGAGGCAGACTATCCATATTTAAGAGGTGGAAATCCAGTTGAGGTAGTAAATGAATTCAAATATCAACATTTAATCATCAGTCCAAGTTTGGTCTTAGGGCGTCATTTTTCTGAAAGAGTTAGTCCTGTAATGTTTGGTCTAAATTCAACTTGGCATAATTTTATAGATAAAAAAATTTCTCCTGCTCAAGTAAACTAGAAGTTTATAAGTCAGTCTCTCCTCGAGCAGTGGTTAGTTATGCTGGACAGGTTTGGGATTTTGAGCCTTAACAAGATTTTCAAACATTTAAAAGATATTTGTAAAAAAAAGATTGTGTCTCCCAAGGTATGCACCTAATTATACTTTAGCACATGAACAGGTCTCGCCTCAATGTATTCTTATATGCTGAAAATACATTTTGATTATATCTTAAAGGTTTGGAGATGCCTGATTTCCTTATACCCCATATTTTAACAAAAAAAGTTATAAAAAGTAAAGATTCTTGGTACCGGAAGTGCCTGGAATTAGGGCAGTTTTATCAAATTAAGTTTGATATTTCAAATATTGCTATTATAATATGAATATTATATTTTGTATCTATTGGCTTTATGATAATAAACTCATTTCATTCATTCAAGAGTAAACTAGTTTTTAAAATAAGAAATATTAAAGTTAATTCATGTCAATACATCTGTAACACTAGTTCCCCATTCTACTGTTGGACTATTATTACAATTATTTGAGTGACTCAGCCACTGACATTCCATTTCTCCTCGGGCATGCCATTTTCTTATTTCTTCTGGACTTTGGCTAAATATAATCTATTATAACTGTGGGAGTACTCAAAATCAATAAGATCTGGCTCCTGTCCTCACATAGACATATAATCCTCATTGGTCAAACTAAACTCCATCCATAATTAGCTAAGAGTGTCAGATAAATTCTTCCATTTGATGGTATTTATACAAATTTAATACCTATTTATAGAACCAGTAAGTTAGTTTCATGATTTCTTAATTTGATTCAAATACTGTGTAAGTTGCATTCTGAAAAGCATACTTCATCATACAATTGAATTTTCCTTTTTTTTAACTCATTTATTATTATTTTTTTAGGTGGCTGCAAATGCACCCAAGGGAATTCTCCGAACTCCTCAAACAATTCAGCAGTTCCAGCAAATACCAAATCCACAAGGTCAAACATCCCCCCTCCTTCAGTATTTCGGAATTTTGCTTGATCAGGTTAATAAATGTTAAGTTAATCTTTTCATTATCATATTTTTATTATTTACGTAGTGAGCTACTGATGTTATTAATAATTAAATTACAATACACTTAACTGTGTTATAAATTTCGAATTTTGGTTTTTTAAAGTATTATTATTGTTTATATTTCCTATGATTTTTTTTGTTTTGAGATCTCTCATATTTGATATTAATTAACTGTTTTACTGCAAAATTTGCATCTTTATTCAATTAATTTTAGAACTGAAAGTTGACATTAAAAGTGTGTTTGTAATATATTATTCTGGCGAAGAATCGTGAAGAGGATCCCAGGTCGTGGGGTCACTGATTTCAATGAAACCTTTTTTTTTTTTTATACTAGACAGAAATATATTATACCCCTATCTGATGGTTCTTGCCAATGCCTTGAGGGTGAGATATTTTTTTTTTAATTCTGACATTGTTATAATATTGTTTTCTGCCTTTGTTCGTGGACTACTTGGTTATAATACATCAATCAATTTATTTTATTTTTTGCAAAATAAGGAAAACATGGCGGATTCTATTGAACTAATTCAAATGCATAATAAATTGCTAAAACCATAAGACACTTCCAGTGAAATAGGAAGTTTTTTTTTTTGTCTTAAAAAGTAATTCAAATTAATTTTTAGTATACTTTAAAACTCTAAGATACAAATTTGTTTTGAAATAAAGAATTATAAATTTTTGGACTTTATGTTTATAAGTCATAAATTTTTTTGGAGATTTTTTTTTTAATTTTGTTAACTAAAGCATTCATAACTCTCCAGGATTTTCTCTTCATTCAATGTCACTACAACCATTGGAAAGTTGAATGTTTTATGTTTTTCCAAACCATATTAACTTTTAGATTTAAGGTCTTAATAAGGAATAAAATTTTTTACTAATGAATGTATTTATAAATATTGTGTTTCTAACTAAGTTATATTCTTTTTTCCTCTACTTTATTTCTTTTATTTTATTTTATTTTTTTATTTTAAGTAGTGATTTTTTTTTTTTTTTAGGGTCAATTGAATAAGTATGAATCCTTGGAATTATGCAGACCTGTTTTGGCTCAAGGAAGAAAGCAATTATTGGAAAAATGGCTGAAAGAAGACAAACTTGAATGCTCTGAAGAGCTTGGAGATTTGGTGAAACAAACAGATCCAACTCTTGCTCTCTCAGTTTATTTAAGAGCTAATGTTCCCAACAAGGTATTATTATTATTTTTATAATTTTTCTATTGACCAACTTTCCTTTCCTTGATACCCCAGTATATATTTAAAACAATATCTATTAGTATTATTTAAAAGTTTTTAAAAATATATTATCTGTTTAACAGATTTAAGAATAAATGATCTGGTTCCAGAGTTTTATACTCTTCTTGAGTATACTTTGTTTATCTAAAAAAGGTTTTGATAAAATCATAAACGATTGTATATAGCCAATCATATAATGATTGTATATTTATGTAATATTATCTTTTGGCATTATATTCAGTTGAGACATCCTGTTCCAATATATATCTCTAGTCACTTTCATTAAGTACAACTGCCCTCCAATTTCTCACACGAAGCTCCTTGATTTTTCTTTAACCTCAGGGATTCTTAGTTATAAAATCTTCCCTAACAGCTTTTGAGCCAAACTTCCATCCTAGTTTTAACTAATTGTTCAGAGAGGTCTTTGATTGGAATTTTCTCTCATTTTATTTGAGTGGCACACCTGCCCAATGAAGCATCCTAAATTTTATTCATTGAGTAATGTGTAGATCATCAAATAGATGTTTCTGTTTTTTCTTTTCCATGCATGCTACTGGACACCACTATAAATTGGAGGACGAATTTTATGTCTCTTGTTGAAACCAAAAGCTGTTCATTCCTTTGGTCACTAGCCAAATACATAATTAAGAACACATTTTATTAGAAATTCATTGTTGAAATGCCTTCTTAATATTAATGCAGCTATTCCCCTGCCATCCCAATTATAAAATCTTCATATTGATCAATTATGTGCTGATCCATTAGTACAAACTGCTCTTTAGTAATTTTGGAAGACAGTGTAGGTGTATACTTTGTTTTCCAGGGATCATGTGGAGTCCCACCTTTACTGCTGATCATTCCTAGACTTTAAATACCTCTTCGACTGCTCTTATGTGATCTAACCAGGTCAAGGTCATCTGCATAACTAAAAATCTGAGTACTTCTATTCAGCAATGTTCTGGTACCTTGAATTTCAGCCTTTCTTGCTGAATTTTTGTATGCTAAGTTAATTTAAAGGTAGGCAAGGCTGTCTCATTACCTAACTACTGATTTAATAGTCAATCCTCAATTAAGCTGTCCAATTGTTTTAGAATAACCTAAATTTCCTTCCTTGGTCATTCTGAAAAATCAAACTAACTTTACAGTTATGTTCTAACAATGCTTTGTATGTTTGTTTCTAATCACTCCAGAAGGTTCTTGCTGTTTCTAAATATATTGGTTCTCTTGTCACTAAGACATTGTGTTATTTGATTATTATTATATTCCATAAAATAAGACTTTATTATTATACCCATAGGCCCAAGTAAATTTTACTAGTACAATTGTAAACCGCCAACTGCCCTTAGAAGTGGCAAGGTTAAAGAATCTCTTTACTTAACCATTTGAATGTAGGCGTTGTTGTTCAATTAGTAATTCAGTAAATTCCTTCTCTATTAACTTTAGTATTCTAGGCTCCATCATTTTCAGATCATATTTGGTATATTAGTCTGATCATATCTACTGAATACCTCTATGCTACTTTTTTTGAGCTCCCATACATGCTCTCCCATCTAGAGCAGCTGGTTACCTGAAAAAATTGACCCCAATATATGTATTGTCCATAGTGTGAAGATGAATATAGTGTAGTGTGCGACAATATGATAATTCACTAACCTGCAGGATCAGTCGCAGCTAACTGTGGCTCAAAGACAGAGTGGTGAGGCTATTTTCTTCTTATGTTGATCTATTGCTCCATTTAAAAATTCAAGAGCTAGAGCTAGGAAGAAAAAAATGCTCCATTAAATCCAAGCTTATTTAGAAGAATCAGTAAATTCTTGTTAGTCAGTCACCAATGTGTTCATGACTTTCACTTTTTTGTTTTAAAACTCTATATACTTTGTCATATTGGTGGATATATAAACAAATTGGGAAGTAATTCTTAATTTAAAATTATCAGGAAATCTATAAAATTTAATATATTCATAAAATAAATTATAATGTTTTATTATCTTGAAAAAGATTAATCATAAAGAGATGCATTATCACTAAAAATAATAAATTGGTGCAAATAATAATAGTAACTCATTTTATAATAGAATCTGAATGCAAGCTAATATTAAAGAGAGAAAAACATTGTAAAAATGCTGAAGAAGAAAACTTTAATACATCCATGATATATTTATGTGATATCATCATTATCTTTATTTTAACGTATCTTTATCATTATCTTTAATTTTATAGGTAAGTGAAAGTGTAATATATAGTAAGGGTAAGTATTGCGATCGTGAAAATTTTTGAATCTCAGTTTTCAACGGAAATACATGTTTTGATGTCCCCTGAGTCCAAATAACCAAGTGTCGCAAAATGGTCTGGGTCTTTGTCTGTGCGTGTGTGTTAACAGTCTAGCTCATAAACGAAAAGTAGTACGAAACTGATATTAAGTATTTAAGGTTTGTACATGGGCCGGATGTGACTAACTTTTTCGTTAAAATCGGCTAACCGGAAGTGCCACTTTATATGAACGCTGAAACACATTTTTACAATTTTCTCAAAAACGGCTCTAACGATTTTGATCAAACTCGGTGTATCATTGTATAATTAAGTGGTCTTTAATATCATTTAGATCTTATCCTTGTTGATGTCATATTACAGGGCTTAAATGCCCAATATTCATATATGTCTTCCTCTAAAGTACCTTTAATATGGTTTATTTTAAAAAGTTAACCATTTCGCATTATTCAGAGTTATGAAAAAATGGAGAAAAACCTGCGTGGCTATAGACTGTAGCGCCTAAACGAATGTACCGATTTCAATGAAACTTTTAAATATACTTTTTTAATTGTTAAGACTAAAAAAACATTTTTTGTACAGAAATTTAATAATGTATCTTTCCTAAGAACATCTATCATAAGAAATAAGTACCTAAATTTATACCTTCATTCTCAGTTCTATATTTCAACACTGCAATCACCACCTCTGGAATCAACTTATTCACTGTCTGCATGGATAACTTTTTCAACTAAAATGACATTACTCAAAAATGTTGAAATTGGAGTTAGTCATTCTGTGTTATATAAAAGCAAAGAAAATTGTGTGGTTTATAAAAGCAGATGGAGTAACTATATTTTTATTGCCTACCGTCGATATAGTAAATAGACTTTTTACAATTTTAATGGTGTTAATGATTTGTTATCTGTAAGCTTTAAGCTTTAGCTCCGTTTAAAATGCACTTCAGAAAATTTTATAATAGCCCAGCGTTGCCAGAAAATAATTTTTATTCAAAGTAGAGCGGTAAGTGAAAGTTGTGTGTTGCGTGCACCAGATTTTTAAAATTTAAATCAGATTTCTTTTTGTTTTCAAAAAAAGTAATGTTACTAAATGGCCAAGTTATTGTGATGATAATGAACTGTAATTCAAATAATTAGTTGATTATCTGTGTTTCAATCAAATGTATCATTAGAAATAAATAAATATGGTATGGGAAAATATTAATTTTAATTTACTTCTTATCCTCTATTTTTGAAAGCTTGTGCCTCTGATCTTTACGGTCTTTGTCTCAATCAGTTTTCATGTAATCTAGGTCCATACACTTGACTAGATTCTAGATTTTTGTGCAGCCTTGAAAAATTTCATCTTATGATGTATCTGAGCTTTTATCATGTTTTGAATTCTATTTATCAAAGAACTCATTCTATCCTTGTCCTTATCCAAAATTCCTATGTTGATGGTATTGGGTTATCTAATTTCTAAATGTGTGTGTACCAATTCGTCTCAATTAAGAACTGGTTCTTCAAATGACTTTTTAACAGGACATTTAAAAGAGAGAAAGAGTTGATGATTGGGTTAAAATAGTGACTTATGTTTATTGTTGTGTTTTGAGCTTATGTTATTTTTTATTGCTTTAACTGTATATAATATATAGTAAGTATCACAATACTTGTCTTAATACACTAATGTATTTTATAGGTTATACAATGCTTTGCTGAAACTGGACAATTTCAAAAAATTGTATTATATGCGAAAAAAGTAGGTTATTCGCCAGACTACATTTTCCTGCTCCGAAATGTAATGCGTGTTAATCCTGATCAAGGTGTTAGCTTTGCTCAAATGCTTGTTCAAGATGAAGAACCACTGGCTGATATAAATCAGGTATTATTTATATTATATACTAGCTTTACCCGCTCACGCTTTGCTGTTGGTCAATCTGGTTAAATGGTAAAGAAATAAAATAGAAAGCACACATTTTTTTATGTTTAATTTTGTGTTGATTATTTTATGTCAAATAAAAATGTAAATGTTTGTTTTTTTCACAATCTAACATCTCTGAAAGTTTTTCACAGATTGCTTTGAGTTTTTGCTTAATGTTATATTAAAATATGCACCTCAGTGTGGTTTAGACTTCAGTATAGAGCGTATGATTGAAGTTTAACTAGTTTTATAATCCGTGATTTTAACAGTTTTTAGACGGAGTTTTGTTATAGCTTTTGGCTAGAACCAACTATTGTGCTGTATCCAAAGACAGAATTGAATCCTCACTACCACCCGCGTCTCGTATTAGGAGAAGAAAGGAAGCAATCTCAGTTTTAGACAGCTTACAGGTAGCTAACGTAGACATCTTAGTTAAGAATAGAAATGGGGAGCACATGCACAGAAATAATAATAGCTACTAGATATCTCTTAGTGTCTCCAGTGACTGCGTCAATATTTTTACCACTTCGCTTACGTATTTTTTTTTCTCACATATTTTATAATTTAGTTATTTCACACCTATCAAGATGTTTCTATGTCCAATTTACAGACAAACCATAGTTAGAGAGGACAAAAAAACATTAGCTTGTTCTATTTTTCATTCTACGTGTCAAGCAATTTTTCATGGCAAATGCTTAAACACAGATGAGAATGAATTTGAAGCACTAAGGGTAGCAAGATAAAATTGGGTATGTCCCGAAATGTGAAAAGGCCCCAAAAAAATAGCCAAATGACAGATAAGTGCTCTAGCCCCCAAGATCGGCTCCACAACTAACGCCTCGTCCCAATTGCTACTTTCTGCCATTAAAGACTTTGCAGAAGAGGTCAAGGGATTAAAATTCTCCTCCCTCGATGCCAATGCTAAGGAGGTGAAAGAACTAAAAATATCCCTCGAAAAGCAAGCCTCTATCACTTTCGAGAATGCGGCAAAACTGGATACTATTAGAGTCACTACTGGCGGCTCAAAACTCTTAAGATCGACAGACTGGTCTTGGAAAATATAAGTCTCGGAGCTCGAAATCAGGCTCAACAAATTCATCAGACTTCTTCTCTGTACTTTTCCTTCAGGTAAGGTATGTATTTAATATAAATTTCCTCTTTCTCTGCCTGTACCTTGAAGTCTGATCCTGATCATTGGTTTCAAATCTGATCGTGGGATTCACTATGAGTGCCACCTTTACCATTGCATTGAACGCCAAGATGTCAATGAACCTTGTTGAGCCTTCTGTATCCAGGAAATAAACTTCGAGGAAACATTTATAGTTGTTCATTTCAAGGAATTCGGCTATAAATTATTGTGCCGGCGGGTGACTGCTTGATCATCAGCAAAACCTGTAAGTAGAGCAGGACCTTGGTCATCGAATAATTTGTACCCATATTCCGCCGCAACTCTTGGGTCACACAGTTCTGTGTACAGGGAATCTATACTTATATCTTGAAGAGTGCCGGGGAAAGTGGTCCACCCTGTGGTGCTCGTCTCAATACTTTGATGTTGCTAGTCCTGTTAACCCCCTGCCTGACTCTTATGCTGTTATGATATAATAGGCTCTCTATTTCTTTTCTAAGGTCAGATGAAACACCTCTAGCTTCCAATGACTTCAAAATATGATTATGGCCAATATTGTCGAATGCTCCAGTAACATCCAAGAATGCGACAGCAGCATCCCTCTTTTTATTCATCTGCATCCTTAAGAACAGCCTCAATGATTCTCGAGTTGACGTGGCACTCTGGTTGTCCTATTACGAAACCTCTGATTTGAGTGAATAGAAATTTGTATCCGAAGCTCATGATCAAAGATCTTTTCAATAATTTGCATCAAGATGGGTCTCCACGAAGACAAATCATCTCTATAACCCTTTCCTTTATATATTAAAATTGTCTGCCGCAACAGAGAATTTCAGGGACATAACCGAATTTCAATATTATATCTATTACCGTTTTGTTTATATGTGAAATTCCAGCTTCCTAATTGTTCTCATAAGAACTCCATTAGGACCAGGGAAGTGTCCATAGATATGCTCTTTATTGCTTTATGAACAACTCTTAGCTCTACAGTTTCTACGTTTAGATTGTTAGAAGATGGTGCATAGCTTTCCTTCACATTATCATTCTTGTGCTCAAAGAGCGATCTAAAATGTGCTTCAATCTTCTCAATTTTAATGAAGCATTGTTTTAGGCTATCCGCATTCATGATACTTTTGACAACTTTTTTTCTACAATTGTGGTACTTATATTGGCTCAGGCCATATTTGAATTGTTCTCGCCTTCTCTCTCTGGCAGCCTTGTTCAATCTCTGGGGGTTGCTAACATTTCACTCCCCTTTACTCTTTATTTCCTTATTTTTTCTTCTTCGCATTTGATAAAACCGAATAACTGGATGTTTTGGGCCAGGGAATGTTTTATTCGCCTCTCTAAGAAAAAGAAGAAAATCACTCATGATTGTGTCAAAGTTGTCTGAATCAAAAGGATCCTTAAGCAGCTCCTTAAATTTAGTTTCCCAATTTTTAACTTCAAGCTTAACCGCACTCTCAGTTGGCTGTTTATCGTTCTCGTTTCTATTTTTCTTCTCCATTGATACAAGTTTGATCCGATTTATCTCCTCTGGGTGCTTCTTTGATATGTGGATTGTAAGTTCACTCTTGTTTTTAAACGATGACTGATAGATCGAACATATCTAGGGAAGGAGATCTTTCAATATTTCTTGATAATCCGGATTGAAATCTGTGACATGAAGAACTTAAGAATCATAATTCAATTCATTTACTTTGAGGTTCTTTGTTTCTGACGGTTCTCAAAGAAAAACTTCATACTCGGAAACAGTTTTTCCCAAAACAATCCCTGTATCTTCCTCCTTTAAAAATTCCATTCAATAGATACAGTCTGAAGACTGTCATCTCCTCCTTTCCCAATAGATATGACAACCAAATCTTGAAAAATTTAACCTCTTCTTTGAACCTAAACCTGCTGACCAATCTTCAGACTTTTCTCCAGTCCGGACATATCCTCCAACCAGCTATAACAAATTTTTAATTAAGTAAATGTCGATACAAGTAAACTTTACGTTTGGTAGCGTTTATATTCGAAAAGTGTTTTTTAAGCCAATGATTAATAGGTACCATTAATTTTATAAAAACGGTTCTAGTAAATCCTCCAAAATTTATAATAAATATATAATTTAAATGATGCAATAATTTAAAAGCATCCAGTTCAATAGGCTAAAAATTATATTAAAACAATAATTAGTTAAAAACAACCATATAGATTAAAAGATTCAATAATTTAATAGAATCTAGTTAAATAAGCTGAAAATTATATACATAAAAAAATAGTTTAAAAAAAACATTGATATAAGTTAACAGATTCCATAATTTAATAGAATCTAGTTAAATAAGCTAAAAATTATATACATGAAAAAAACAATGAGTTACAAATACATTACATCCACATCCATATGAGTTAAAAAAATCAACAATTTAATATAATCTAATTAAATAAGCCAAACATTATATACATGAAAAAATAATTTAAAAAAAAACATTCATATTAGTTAAAATAATTAATAATTTAATATAATCTAATTAAATAAGCCAAACATTATATACATGAAAAAAACAATGAGTTAAAAATACATCGACATCCATATGAGTTAAAAGAATCAACAATTTAATAGATTCTGATTAAATAAGCAAAAAACTACATACATAATAAAAAGTAGATTAAAACATACATCCATATGAGTTTAAAAAATCAACAATTTAATAGAATCTGATTAAATAAGCTAAACATTATATAAATAAAAAAATATAAAAACAATTAGTTAAAAACACATCCACATTCATATAAGTTAAAAGAATCAACAATTTAATATAATCTAGTTAAATAAGCTGAAAACTATATACATACAAAAAAATAGATTAAAAAGCACATCTATATAAGTCATAAGATTCAATAATTTAATAGAATCTAATTAAATAAACTAAAATTATACGCGAAAAAAATAAAATTAGTTAAAAACACATCCTCATTCATACAAGTTATAAAATTCATTAATTTAAAAGCATCTATTTCAATAGGCTAAAAATTATATACATATCTCTGGGCGTTTACTTATAGATCATCATTAGGGTTTCAAATCTTCTTTTTCTTCATGTGTGCTACAACTCATCACTGAGTCTCCTCCTCCTCAATTTGTCTCGCCCATTGATCTCTCTTTCTTGCAGCTGTCCTCCAGTTAGCTAGTTCAAGAAGAGCTCTACCATCCACGTCGACCCCATCCATCCAGCGCAATCTAAGTCTTCCAACTCTTCTTTTTCTTTATGGGCGTGTCAAAATAGTTTTGTTGGTTGGGTACTTGTCTGATAGCCGGTCGGGACGAAACATCCTTTGTTATCTAATGCTACATCACAAAACCTCCATTCTTATCTCATGTAAGCTGTAACTTATTCCATTGTTTATTTTTGTTCCATTTGTGTGATTTTCTTGAAATGCCCATGTGGGATAAAAAAATCCGATTGTAAATTTTGATTCATAGTTCTTCAAAAACCTAATAAATTATCTCAACAGTGAATGAAGAAATGATCTATCAGAAAACTTCAGCAGCACCAGTGAATCGAAATACCCATGTGTGATCGAAAATCTGATCATAAATTTGGAATTACTGTCCTTGAAAACATAAAAAAAAAAAGATATCTATGATGAAAAATCCTACTAACCTTATAATTAATTCAAAATACTCATATTGAACCAAGTTTCAATTGTGAATTTGAAAACACAACAAATGATCGCTAAATTGATAAAATCCACACCTCTTCCTCTCTAAAAACTAAAAAAGTTATAGGTAATTGTAATAATAAAGATCTAAAAATAGATATTTTATTGTTTTGTGTGTAATCTTAAACCTAACTAGTTAAAATAATTTCAAAAGTCATTATTGAAATTGAAAAACATAAATAAAATATAATGTTTATGAATTAATTCATTCTTGGTTGGGTTACAGTTGAATTGGAAAAAGTTACATCTGAATAATTTTATTACCAACAATTAATAAAACATGTTTTTAATATTTCGTTTTTGTCTGACTGATTTATTTTTTTTTAGATTGTTGATATACTAATGGAGCAAAACATGGTACAGCAGTGCACAGCATTCCTTTTGGATGCCCTTAAAAATAATCGGCCTTCTGAAGGCCCATTACAAACTAGGCTTCTTGAAATGAATTTAATTTCTGCTCCTCAGGTATTTTTTTCTGGAAGTTATCCATAAAATTCATCGAAATACTATTTTTTTTTTCAAATGATAATAATAACAATAGTGATTTAATTTTTGTTTTATAAATAATTAGTTAATGATAAGTCTTAAAATATTTAGGTTGCTGATGCTATACTTGGGAACCAAATGTTTACACACTATGATAGAGCCCATATTGCTCAGCTTTGTGAGAAGGCTGGTCTACTCCAAAGAGCATTAGAACATTATACAGGTAAATTTAAAAAAAAAATTTATTTGAAATATAGTAATTATGTTTAATTAATTTCAAGTATTTTTGTTTAGATCTTTATGATATAAAACGAGCTGTTGTTCACACTCATCTTCTTGGCCCTGATTGGCTCGTGGGTTATTTTGGTACCCTTTCCGTTGAAGATTCTCTTGAGTGTCTGAAAGCCATGTTAACAGCAAATATTCGACAGAATTTAAATATATGTGTTCAGGTAATATTTCATATTTTGTTTAGATCTCTCTGTGCCTGGTGTTGTAAAATCAGTACCAAACATGCTGCAATTGGTGATTACTGAGTAGCATCCAGCCAATTTTTATAAATCACTCCAATTCTAATATTTTATAAAATGAGATATATCCATTATATTTGCTTCTTCTTCTGCGTTTTTTTTCTTTTTCCTTACATGGCCATGTCAGGAGACTAAACTGAAGAATTCAGTAGTCCTTCTATGGTCCTCCAGGCTTCCGTAAAGCTTTCATTGCACCTCAGTTGGAGAGGGCCAGATCAGTCTCCTTTTCTGAGAATAGAACCTGCATGTTTAGAGTATGTGCTTTGCATTCTGTTCACCTCCGCACTCGTAGAGGGGATTAGAGCCAATGTGCAACTTTCTGAACAGGTTGGCTTTGAGCCTGTTATGCCCCGTTTGCAAGCAGAAGATTAAGACTGATTTCATTGAGTAAGTTTCTGGATATCATCTCTGGGGTCGTGATGTGGATGACTTCTGATCCATCGTTGGATAATATTATCTTTGTCAAGTGTTTATCTCTTTTAGACTGAGCTTACAGTCAAACTACAGACCTCGAGACCCTTTCTTTGGCCAGTGTGTCTGCCCTTTTGTTTCCTGAGAGGCCACAGTTAATAAATGTAATTAACGTGTGTGGATTAAAAAAAAAATATTTGTGTAATATACTTTTTTTTTCTGTTGGCATTACAGACCTTGTTGATCTTTTGCCGCCTGAACAAGCCTGCTCCATCTCTGCCTGTCTTGGGCTATTTCTTTCCATTTATCTGCAAGCAGCTGTATTGCATCTTTGTTGATTCTATCAGTCCATCTGCTTTTTGGCCTTCCAGATGGATTACTAGGAGCTATATGCCCTGCCCATCTTAACTTCCATGCCTTCATATCATGGGATATTGATTGACGAGTTTCTATAAGCAATTCTTGATTGGTCTTTCTTCTCCATGTATTAATACTGTGATCTCAGATCTGTTATCGTGCAGAGGATTATTCTCCCAAATCTTTCCATACTTTTTTTCTAGGGTGCTGGTTAGTGTCCAAGTCTCACAGCCATATATTAGAACTGGCTTTATCATAGCATTGTACACCCTTAATTTGAGATTTTTCAGGATTTCAATACCTTTGAAAGGGAGAAGAAACTCTGTTTGCGATAGTTATACATTGTCCTATTATTGAACAATGGTCATTCATTGAGGTTATTTGGAGCCGGGGTATTTAAATTTCTCTACTCTTGGGAATGATTTTCCTTCACTGCAGATCCTGTTATTGGGGTGGAATTTTCATGCTAGTCATTTTTTCAGGGTGATCATTTGTACATGTCTTTGTCAATTGCACCAACTTACCGGGAACTCCCAGTTCAGTCATGATTTTCCAAAGACAGTTCCTGTCCACAGAATCATATGCTGCTTTGAAATCAATAAATAGGGCGTGGACATCCTGAGCTACCTCTCATCGTTTTTCGAGTACTTGTTTTAGGATGAAGATCTGGTCTAGCCTGCTCCTTCCTTTTCTGAATCCAGCTTGGTGGTTACCTATTATATTTTCATAATACGGATATATCCAGTTTAGTAGGATAATGATCATTATCTTGTAGGCAATCGGAAGGAGTGCTGTTATAGCTGAGGGTTTGAATTAGTTTTGATCTTGATTAAATAACACAATTGAGTAACTTGAAACTGATTTATTACAAAGCACCATACATGTATACATGTTGAAACATACATAACAGCTGGTAACATAGATATAATGCCACCTATATATGTTACATTCAATATAATCTCTATAGAGCACTATGCCTCTGTGATTACTACACTCATACTATTTCTACATCCAGTATATCTGGTTTTTCAACCTCTTCTGGATCAAGGTCCTCAGTGTGGTCCATGTCTTCTACATTTGACTATCTTTTCGCATGTTCACAGAAGAACCACGTCTTAGCTTTTTATTTCTCCTGAATACCTATACTCTTCACTTCCTTAGCTTGTTTTGTGAATTCGCTTCAATCTGTGATATAGTTTAAGCTATCCGAATCCAAAGGTTCGAATTTATTTTTCGGCTCAAGTTGGAATTTGGATTTTACTTTAGAATTTTTCAAATTACAGACTTCATACATCTTTCTTTCCACTCGATCCTCTGTTGTGCGAATTCGCTTCAATGTCTGACATAGTTTAATTCTAATCAGAGAGTGATCCAAATCACAGTCTGCTCCACAATAGCTTCTTACCTATTGTATTGAGTTCTTATGTTTCTTGTCTACCAGTACATGGTCAATTTGGTTTTTACTCCTTTGGGGCTAATCCAGGTGTACTTGTGGATATCTTTGTTTGTGGAGGAACATTGAACTGCTGACGACTAGACCTTTAGCTGTTGCCAGACTGATGCATCTTACTTCATTTTCATTGCTATTTTTATAAAAGCTTTGCCATCCGATAACGGGCTGGGTACAACCCAATAATGAATTGGGTTCTTGTCCAATGGTTGCATTGAAGGTCACCTATGACTAATTTTATGTAATATCTATGAGTTGGGTCCACAATATTTTCCAACTGATCGTAGAAATCATCCTTCACATCTTCATCTTTATCTTCAGTTGGTGCATACACGTGAATTATCGTGATATTTAACCAATGACCTTTAACTCGTAATACACTAAGCCTTTCGTTTATTTTGGATTAAGTTTATAATTGATTTCCTTGCCGCTGAACTAACTATAAATCCAGAATGGTGTATGGCTGTCAATAATGGTTTTGCCACCATCTAGCCATCTTACCTCTTGAATGGCTGTTAACTGTATGTTAAACCTTTCTAGTTCTTTAACTACCGTTTTTGAGGCTCCTCATATGTATAAACTACGTATGTTCCGAGCTCCAATGTATAGTTCATGATTCAAAATTACCATGTTTAGAGTCCGATTTTCCGAGGCTCAGTTATGGTTTCGTAATAAGGTATTTTTACCGGGATAGGGTTAATAGCCGTATGTCCAACCCCCAACCTGGAGGACCAGGAGCTATGGTGTAAGACACAGGGCTCACATCCCTATGAATTTGGGTTGAGACGTTTCCGTCCCCTTGCGGGAATCAAACCTGCGCTTTAGTAGTCAAAGTAATCGGGTAGTGCTTAAAATTTTTATCTTTTAAATTTTATTTATTATTATTATTTTTTATTTTTTTTTTCCCCGTGAGCGGGATTTGAACTCATGATTTTTGGTTTCGATATAAATTGAAGAAAAAAAAAATTCCTCTACACGCTGAATGTATTTTTGCAGGTGCCTTAACTCTCTCGACCACCGCGGCCATATATCGACCACCCTTCTGTAATATACTAATGATAAATTTTTTTCATACAGACGAAGATGTGTTAATTTGCCTCCCTGAATAAGATAGTGCTTTCTTTATGGATCAACTTATATTTATTGATAAAATAATTAGATTTTATTGATTGAAAATACTAAAGTTAGAGTTTTAGTGTTGTTGTTTTGTTTTTTTTGTTATTTAAACTCCCTTCTCTCCACTAATCTTACCCCTAGTTTAAAAAAACATTTTTTTTTTATTAGGTATGTTTATGGAATTAATTTTTTTTTTTTTTTTTTTTTTTTATATAAAGTTAATAACTTTTGAAGTACCAATACTTTTCTGATTGAAGAGCATTAAACATTTTGTTACCTCTAAAAACCCTTTTTTTCTAGAACATTTGATTAATTTAATTTGATCTACCTATCTTTTTTTTAAATTAAAAATGCTGTACGAATACGATAAATTTACTGATGAATTAACAGTACATAGGTTTATCTTGTACATCAAATAATAGTTTTAATAAAATTTTAATAATTGGAAATTATAATTAGTCAAAAATATTTAATAATGTATGTTTTGTATAATTTTATCTTCAGAACTCAAAAACTCCTCATTACCCTATTGTATTATAATATAAACCTTAAATGATTTAGTTTTAATTGATTTTGATATCAGGATTTGATGTAGTTTGTAAATGAATTAATTAAGTCCAGAATTTCCATCAAGCTTATTAAACTAATGAGGCTTACTATGGAGGAGGTGAATTGTGTTTGAAAATTTGAGGCAATGCATTAGAAGAGTTTTAATCAATAATAGAAGTGAGACAATGTGATGCTTTAGCATGCCTCTTTTTCCTTTTTGTTTGGAAAAGGCATTCCGTGACACTTATGGACAAAGTCAAATGTCTGGTATAATATTTAATAGGGCGGTGCAGCCTCTCTCTTTTGCAGATGACATTGATGTAATTAGAAGCTGTCAGTTGATGGTTCTCCAGTCCTTTCTGTTACTGGAGGGTGCAGTAAGGAAACTAGATTTGATATTCAATGAGGAAAAAACAAAATACATGGAATTTCGGACTCTACAAGTTTAAACAATTATGGAATTTGCATATATATGTTCACAGATAATCAAGATTTATCAATAAGATTTGTATAGTAATTATAATTATAAAAGGATGTTGAAATAATCGAGAGGATTTTGGTTGCCAACCATTGCTAATATGGATTAACACAGCACTTGAGAAGCCATTTAGTCACCCAGTATTGAAAAATCATCCTATACAAAATTGTCCGGTTCTGACTTACGAATCCAAGCCCTGGATGAAACTAAGTTATTTATATTATATAACTTACTACAAGGAAGAGGATGGGATGGCCGAGCATGTTGGGACATGAGTCCCAAAGTGCCTGATTCTGAATGTTGTAGGTTCAATTCCCACTTTGGTAAGTATCCAGCTGCAACCATAAGGTAGCCATCAGAGGTTGGCAAAAAGGACGATGATAAGGCCCACTTGCCACTACCCCCTTGTTTTGATTGTTTCCCCACAAAGTAGCACTATCAGTACTAAAAGGGAATGTGACAAAAAAAGCTGAAAGTCTGTGATACATTTTGTTTTCTGTCCTCTTTCTCGCCTTTTGGCCTATATGTGGTTTTCCCAAATCAGGGGGTGAGGGTGAGGGATTAATGCCGAGTTAAAAGCCCTCCCTCCTCCCCGGTCACTGGAGCATGAAATCGTAGTTATTTTATCTAATTATATTTAATCTGGGTTTCCGGGCAACGTGAGGTGCTGTGCACACGCATTCGCCTGCTCGGGTACCCCACCCCTAAGTCTATAATAGATATTTTAACAAGCACGATTTAAAATTCATTAAAGCCATATGGCCAGGATGACATACAGTATGAATCCCAAAAAGCTCCTGACAGAGATCATGCATGGAGGGCTATGCATTGGAAGACCTAAGCTATGATGGAGAGACAGTGGTAAATGATTTCAAGAGACTTTGTGGAAGAAATTATATGGTGGCAGTGAAAAATAATGATGTCTGGTTGTTGGTGGAAATCACGACTTGCTAGCAGGTTGTAGTGACAAATTAAATAGATCTTAGTGTAAACAGTCATATTTTTTAGATTTCTTTATAAGGACAATTTTAAAAGTCTTACCATAACTTACTTCAATTTTAATTTTAGATTGCAACTAAGTACCATGAACAGCTGACAACCAAGGCTTTGATAGATCTTTTTGAATCATTCAAAAGTTATGAGGGATTGTTTTATTTCCTGGGCTCAATAGTTAATTTCAGTCAAGATCAAGAAGTTCATTTTAAATACATTCAGGTATGATTACTTAAGCTATTTGGTTCCATTATTCTACCATATGGAAAGTATGTAAACCATAAAGAATATATATAACAGATCTTTATGTGGTTTATTAATAATTTGTAAATATCATTGTTTTGCATTTTTCATTGTTTGTTTCCCTCTATTGTTTTGGAAAATACTTAAAATGTGTTATTCAAAATTATTCTTCTTACAGGCAGCATGTAAAACAGGACAAATAAAAGAAGTTGAACGAATTTGCCGTGAATCTAATTGCTATAATCCAGAGAGAGTAAAAAATTTTTTGAAGGAAGCAAAATTGACAGATCAATTACCACTTATTATTGTTTGTGATCGATTTGATTTTTGTCATGATTTGGTTTTATATTTATACAGAAATAATTTGCAAAAGTATATTGAAATTTATGTACAAAAGGTTTGTTGTTCATGTTATTTGGTCACTCTTTGTGTTATTAAAATTAAAGGTATCAATTTTTAATGTTGTTATCTTTTAAAGGTCAATCCTTCTCGTTTACCTGTTGTAATAGGAGGATTATTAGATGTTGATTGCTCTGAAGACATTATTAAAAATTTGATGATGGTTGTTAGAGGTCAGTTTTCAACTGAGGAGCTTGTTGCAGAAGTAGAAAAGCGGAATAGATTGAAACTTTTGCTTCCTTGGTTGGAAACTCGTGTTCATGAAGGCTGTGTTGAGCCTGCTACTCATAATGCTCTAGCAAAGATATATATTGATAGTAACAATAATCCAGAACGATTCTTAAGGTGTGTTTATTTTTTTATTTATTTTTTGTCAATGATAATGATTACATTATTTCAATTTTGTCTTTAGAACTCTTTTAATTAAAATAATCAGAATAAAAAAAATTCATCTTCTTATTTTTCTTTTTCTAGGAAGTTTTAGTATATATATTTTTATAAGGTTAAGGCAAATATACTTCCATTTTTCTTTAGTCTTTTTAATTTTAGTAATTTTAACGTTTCGGGACAATTTTCCCATCCTCAGAGAATTCCTTATGTTTACTTGACTTTGTGATGTGGCACCAACTGTCAAAAATTACAATAATTGTCATATCTATTTAAATATAATACTTTATGGTGTTACATATTCATTTTCTGTCTATTATCACACCAACCAACATCTTAAACTTAGAAAATTTCATCATTTTGAAGCATCATTAGTTCTTAGATAGTTCCCTGACTAGATATACTATTATTTATTGCTGACCATGTTATTGATTGTTAAGTTATCGTGTAAATATTTTTGTGTAAATTTTTTCATCAATATGTAATAGGTGAAGTAGGTTCATTATTTTTTAAGTTCTTCTTTGATAAGGCAATGAATTGTCAAACAATTGATATTTTATAATCAATGAGATTTGTTTTATAGACATTTAAATATTCATGATGCTATTTTTTTTTTTTTTTTTTCCAGGGAAAATCAGTATTATGATAGCTGTGTTGTAGGAAAGTACTGTGAAAAACGAGATCCACATTTGGCTTGTGTAGCCTACGAAAGAGGTCAATGTGATAGAGAGCTCATAAATGTTTGTAATGAAAATTCCCTCTTTAAATCAGAAGCCAGGTTAGTTTATTTTTATTATCGTTTTTTCATCATTCCATTTCTTTATTTTAAATGTATTGATATACTCTGTTGGAATAGATAAATAGAATAGAGTTGTTTGGTCTATTTATTTTTGAAGTCCAGTTGTTTCAGTTACTATTGAAATATGCTCTCTATAGTAGCTGGACTATTTATAGCTTTCATAGACTGATGTTTTGTTAATATTCTGTATTTGAATTAATATATATATACCAATTGAAATATTGCCTTTGTAATGATTATTATGGTAATAGCTGAAGTAGTACGGTCCATACGTTTTTGGCCTATCCTACTTAGCCTACTTGAAGCATGCCGAGACCTGCATTCCATGCATGTCCATCTCTATTTTTTCCATATCCATCACCCGCACTTCCTCATTCCTATCTGTCTATGCTTGAAGGAAACTTTGCCTCTTTACAATGTTCAAGATCGAATACTATGCGATTATTAAATTATTTTTTAAAGAAGGTCTTACTCCTTTGCAACTTAAAGATTGATTGAATTGTGTGGATGGGCAGTCCTCCCTCTCGTATTCCACAGTAAAAGAATGGTCAAAATTATGTAAGCTAGGGAGATGACCCATGTCCCAGTTACCAATTGGAAGCTGTCACCTCCAAAACAATTATACTTGTGGAAGCTTAATTGCTGTCTGATTGTAGACTGAAGACAAAAGAAATAACAGCAAGGTTGGGGTTTTCAAAAACAAATTTGTTTTTTTCTATTCATAGGATTCTATGTCTTAAAGATGTATTTCATTTTTTACTAATCTTCAACTCACTCCTCTATGCATATATATTTTTTTTTTCTCTCTTATCAATTTACATTTTAGTTTTTAGATTACAATAATTTTCTAGTTTTTACAATACCATTATAAATATTCATTTAAACATCTTAAGGAACAGATGTAAATCATTTTTTTTTTTTTTTTTTTTTATTACTACAATGGTTTGCCTATGAAAGTAATTTAATGTTCCTTTCCAATTTCATTTTGTTATTAGTTATTATTTTTAACTTTTTACTACATTTGTCCTCTTGAACTGCCCACATTAATTGACACTATCAGTAACTTCTTGATTAGCGTTAATGGAGCTTAAGAGTAGTTTTTTTATTGAATGAACTTTATTTATGAATGAATTTAAAGTTATAGATTTACTACTTATTTAATTCTTATCTGTTTTATTTAACTTAGTTTTTATTTATTCTTCACTATTTTATCTATCTAATTGATTTATTATTTCCTGCTCAGGTACTTGGTTAGACGTAAAGATCCTGAATTATGGGCTGAAGTTCTTAATGAAAACAATCCTTACAAGAGACCATTAATCGATCAGGTATTATTTTCTGAACTTGTTTAGTTCTATCAAAGAGATCATTAATACTGTTATTGCTTATATAAGGTGCCTACAGAACCTGGAATACCTAGAAAAGTCAGGGAACTCAACGTACTAAGGGACACAAGCACAATTTCACTGTTATGATCCATATTCATTATTAGTACTAATGAAAATACTATCATTTATATAAGGTGTCCTGTAAGTAAGTAGAGATAAATATTTATAGGAGTGATAGCAGACCTCAAGAGCTACAAAAAGTTCATATAAGCGATGGGCCAATTTTCAGCAGAAAAGTAGGAAATCCAAGTTTTGTGTTTTTTTAAGTAAGTCATGTTTTTTTATGAATATGTAGTGATAACTAAAGAAATATTTAATTTAAGTAATTAAAACTGGCTTCACTGTTAACTAGATAAAATTTTCTTCAAATGAAAATAGAGTTTGTCATTTTTAAAACCATTTAAAGTAAAGGGACTTTTGAGTGGCTAAACAAAGCTCTGTTTTAAAAAAAAAAATCATAAATTATTTACAATTTTATTTTATCATCAACCAACTATGCTACAAATATCTCACTTTTAGAAAAAAACTTTGTTTAATTAGCTTCAAGTCCATATTAATTAAGTTGAGGTTTATTATGGAAAAAAACTTGAGATTCAATTCAAGTTTTGAATAACAAAAAAAAAAAAACTTGTTTCTTGTTTTATTAATAAAACTGCCTAAATATACTTTGTATTTATAAAAGTTTTTTTTTTTCAAAACGATATTTTTCTGGTAAAGTGGTTACGAACTGTGTTTTTCACACAAATTTCTATTGTGGAAATTGAACCATATTTATAAGTGGCAAACTAAATGTTTCTAGTACAAAAATTTAAGTTAAAGATAAATAAACTTGTTGGTTGCTTCAATTATTTTCTTGAAAACGTAAATATTAGGATCACCACGAAATGCACCTAAAAACCTCAAAGTACACCCAGATAATCTGATTATTTTGTAATTCACCAATATTTCGTTCACTTAATTAATTTCTGAGTATATTTCATATTTACACTTATTTATATCTTTTCATCATTTATAACTTTATTGTACTCCGAATCAACCTATAAATATTAAATAGTATTTCATGGACACACCAAAATATTGATATATAATCTGTATTTGTGATTTGTTCTAAAGGGACACTAGTCCCAGAATAATAAAATTATTTTCATTTTATTATAATAACGATAAATTCCTACAATAGAGACCTGGGTGAAAAACACTGCCTGAAAAATATTTAAAGTATCATTATTTTTAACATTTTTTTTATTTTATTTTTTTATGAAAGATAACTGTATTTAGCCAATTATGTTTATTAAAATACATCCCAGGTCATGGAAAAACAAGAAATATAAGCTTTGCAGTAATTTATTGTAGTCATTTTTATTGAAAACATGTACTTTTAGGTGACAGAGTTTAAAATCTTATCATTTTTTTACACAACTTGAGGTAACTCAAGTTTTTCCCTAATAAACGTCAACTTAATTAATATGGACTCTAAGATTATTAAACAAGGAAGTTTTTCTATAAGTGGGGTATTTGTAGTATAGTTGGAGGATGATAAAAAAACGTTGAAAATAATTACTTATTTTTTTATAAAACAACTTATTTTAGTTTAGCTGCACAAAAGAACTCTTTAAATGGTTTTACCAATCACAAACTCTACTTATATTTATTTTTTCTCTATTAATTAATCACTCTATTAATTAAATGTTTGTCTATTTATTTATATATTAAATTTTGTCTAGTTTACTGTGACGTAATTGCTAGTTACTTAAACTAAGTATTTCTTCAGTTATCACTCCGTATTTCACAAGAAACGTGACACTTAAAAAAACAAAACTTGAATTTTCTATTTTCTGCCCAAAATCTAGCCATTATTTATATAAACTTTTTTTGTAGGTCTTGAAGTCTGCTATCACTCCTCTAAATATTTCTCTCTATTGATGAGACACCCTGCTGGTATATATATATATATATATATATATATAACCTGTGTTATAAACGAAAATGCTTTTAACACATTAAATTTTCATGATAAAACCATACTTTTTTTTTTCTTCAAATTATATTCTGAAAATTATTTTTAATAGAAACAGGTTCTGTGTCAGTAAAGACAATTTGTCATTTTAAAAATATTTTTTTACCAGAAAACGGTGTTTTTGATTTGTTAAATAAGTTTGAAAGTCAGTGGCATAGATGATGTATCTATTGTTTTAGTGTCATAGAGGCTGTTTTCATATTTTTATTTGTATATATTTATTTTGCAATAAAAATATAATTATTTATGCAAACTTCAACCTTAATTGCATTTATTTATTATAATTCAGCCAACAAAACGAGTTAATATTTTGAGATGATTATATTTATTTTGAAATATATTACCTGAATTACTGTAGCAAAACAGTTGAATTTTGTTTAGAAAGGTTAAAGCAAGAAATGGCAAAATTATATTTGCCATTCCCTGGCAAATATCCTAGTTTCAGGCTTATATTAACGTTACTAAGTACTCCAGGGAACGAAAAGAATAAAACAGTGAGAAAAAAAAGTTTAGACATCAAAAGTAAACTGTTCGGAGCCTACTAAGAAATGAGTTGAATGTAAAGACCCCCTTCCACTCATGTGTGGCCTTTATCTTCCACCAAAAACCACCAATGAAGGAAGCACAGACCATATGCTGTGGCAGGAACTAGGGTCAAGCAGTGTGAGGTTGTTAACATTCTAACAGAGTATAAGGAAATGTTAAGGGGATTATATAACAGTGTCTGGATTATCAAGCTTACTATAGGTTACAATCAATGAACTAGGGACTGGTGGTCACTGTCTTAGAAATTATATTGTTTATTACTGTTCTATACTTGTCTTATATTCTTTTAAATCATTATATAATTATATTCTTAGGAATGGAAAAATGAAGTTTGGTTTTTTCAAATATACTTTAGTTATTGGTAATTTTTTTTATTATTTTTTAGGTTGTTCAGACTGCTCTTTCAGAAACTCAAGATCCTGAAGATATTAGTGTTACTGTCAAGGCTTTTATGACTGCAGATTTACCTAATGAACTTATTGAACTTCTAGAAAAAATAGTTCTTGATAATTCAATATTTAGTGACCACAGGTAAAGTATTGTTGTTATTTTTAGTTTTAGTATAATAGCAATATTTATTTTTCTTAATATATGTGTATTATTAACACTTCAACTTTCCTAGGAATCTACAAAATCTCCTCATTCTTACTGCTATAAAAGCAGACCGATCAAGAGTCATGGAATATATTAATCGTTTAGATAATTATGATGCTCCTGATATAGCAAATATTGCTATCAATTATCAATTATATGAAGAAGCATTTGCAATATTCAAAAAGTTTGATGTTAACACTTCTGCTATCCAGGTATTTAATTCCACTAGTCTTCTATATAAAGGTTTTATTCAGATCTATCAATAATATTTAATATCATTAATAACATTAAATTTATTATATATTAATATATAATAGCAATTAAATATTTAATAAATTAATACTTAATTTATTAAAAGATTTTATTTTTAACCAGGTTTTAATTGAAAATGTGAACAATCTTGATAGAGCCTATGAATTTGCTGAACGTTGTAACGAACCAGCTGTGTGGAGTCAATTAGCCAAAGCTCAACTGCAACATGGCCTTGTGAAAGAAGCAATTGATTCATTCATAAAAGCTGATGACCCTTCTGCTTATGTTGATGTTGTTGAGACAGCTCACAAAACAGGTAATCTTGGTTTTTTATTAAATGTTTTTCTAATGAATATGATAGGGTCTTACTAATTGACTAGTGTTAAAAATTCGGTTTTCATTTTGAACTATTTGAGTGAATTAAAGAATTAATGTGTAAAAGTGGATCAATAATGAAGGAATTCTTATATATTGACTAAATAAATAAATCATTTATTTCATTTCTCACTTCTTTTATTATACATTTATAGAAAGCTGGGAGGATTTAGTTCGTTATTTACAAATGGCAAGAAAAAAGGCTAGAGAATCTTATATTGAAAGTGAGCTAATTTATGCTTATGCTCGCACCAACCGATTGGCTGATCTTGAAGAATTTATCTCAGGTCCAAATCATGCTGATATTCAAAAGGTAAATTTGATATTACCCATGTATTACTATTTTTATAAAAAAAATTTTTAATTGATTTGAAAATCATTTGATAGATCAATATATTTTATAGTAAATAGAATAGTATCCTTGGAATTTCTTCTTCTTCATTTCTTCATTATTGTCCTTTTTTGTGCCTCTTGTGAAGGTGTCCTGATCCAAGTCTGCCAAGTTTCCCGATCCCAAGCCAGCTTTACATGGAATTTATAGACTTTCCTTTGTTTTGGCTAATCCAGGAGATGTAGTCCATCCTTAGCAATCTAGGTCTTCCTCAAGAATAACATTCGGTAGGCTTGGCTTTGAAAAACTTATTTGAATTTTCCTCCTCATCTATTCAGCACAGATGACCAACTATCTCAACTACCTCTTTTCTACCCTTTTCCTCAAAGTATGTACTCCCAAGTCCTCCCCCCTCCCTGTATCCTCTCATAACTGTTTCTTCTTATCTTGCCTGCCATTCTCAGGAGAGATTTCATGTCCTGTGGGACCTAGCTCTCACTTTCATAGAGAAGAGTAGTTAGGTACATGGTCTTAAAGATACACTGTTCTACTTCTCTTTTTCTCACCAGTTGTATATAGTGTGTAATACTGGTAATTTATGTTATCAGCTTTCTTAATCCTATTTGAAATTTCGTGGTCCATTTTCCCATTATTGCTGAGCACTGCTCCGAGATAAGTATACTCCTCTGCTGTCTCTAAAATGTCTCTGCTGCAGTGCAAACTGCAAACTATCACATCCTCCTCTTAACAATCAATGTAGATAATGCTCATTACATATTAATATGTTCTCTTGATTAAAATTTTCAAATTATATATTTGTTTTTATTTCATAAAGTATGTTTTGTCATGTATTATTAAGTAGAGTGGATTAAACTATTTCTTAGCATAGCATTGATGAAATAAATTTTAGTTTAATTAGAATTAAATTTTGAAGTTCAATAAGAAATTGTTTAAATATCACTAATTTCAATAGTGTTCTGGGAACCCTAAAATGAAGTTTAAAGTTTAATACTTTACGTTTTACAAAAATATGATTCATTGAGTAGACATTTATTTGAAATAAATTAATGAACTCCTAGAATATTACTTTAATTCTTTATAGGGCATAAATCAATGCATGCAATATGAAAAAAAAAAAATTGTGTTAATAGAATGGAGATTGTTCCCAACAATCTGATAAGACACTATAGAAGTGTTAAAAAATAATTAAATTTCTTCCTCCAAGAAAGTGGTTGGTACATACTCCTAGCAAAAAAGTGCCCATTTAGATACCTATAATTTTTTTTATTATATAACATGTGTATATATAAAATAAAATGAAATGAAAAAATAATTTTATTCTGGGACTTAAGTCCCTTAAGAATAATCATAACATGGTACGAAACATTGGTCCATTAGTCTGCCTTGACAAAATACTAAGAGGTTCTTGTCATTTGAATGTTAATTTCAATTGCTATTGCAGTCATGAACAAAGTAACACTAGTACATTTTATATGGTTTATATGTAGATAGATAGATATTTTATTTGTTTTCAGAGGGTTCCCCATACAAATAGAGCCTTGCTTGGCTATTGTAAAATAAGATGGTTTTACAAACTTACATACATATAATTCAAATATAAATCAAATTTACAATATTTAACGTTTAGAATGGTTTTCACAAAACATGAATAGCAATAAAAATTAAAAACAAAACGATTACTGCATAATATTGATTATATGGACCAGTTACTATGATAGAAACAATACAAAATTAAAACATTTATAAATATAAAGAAAATATTACTCTTAAGATAAACTAAAAACAAATGCTTAATAGAACATGGCTATGATCAACAATTTTGTGTATGCACTTTATGAACTCCCATCATAAAATAGTAAACTTTATTTAATTTATCTACACAATCGATATTCAGTATGGAATCTACGTTGCGGTTATCAGAAGATTCTGAAATGAAGTTTTGAAGGAATTTTTGTCTATAGTCATTGTATGCTGGGCAGTGAAGGAGAATGTGATGTATAAATTGACTGCATAATATACAAATTTCTTGAGACTCAATCGAAAAAGTTGTGGTTTTTGCATAAATTCTGATTTGTTCTGGGTTCGCAACTCTTAATTGACCGACACATCTCAATTTCTTTATGTGGACTTTGAATGTAAGATACGTTTCAGGATCGGGAGCATTGTAACTGCATAGCATTCTGTATAAAGGGTAGTTAGTGGAGTTTAAAGTTCTTTGTATGTCGGCTGAGAAATAATAGTTGTGTGCTTTTTCAAGGATGTCGTCTTTGTATCGAAGAAGTCCGTTTGTGTGGTGAACAGAAAGCTCTTCTGCAAAGGCATTAAGTTCAGCTATTGCTCTAAATTGAGACACCCAATTGAAGTCTATGTCAGGCTTATCCTTATCTAATGTTTTAAGTCTATTAAAACATAGTTTTGGGAGTCGCTCTTCTGGCATGAACTCGAGCTTGGTCCATAGATTTATCATCTTTTTCGAGGCGGACTATGTAGTTTGGGGTATTTCTGGGCCAACCAAACAGTTGCTTTAAATATTTAAGTTGGACCATTTCGATTGCCTCAAAATAATTGGGGCTCCATATTTCAGAGGCATAAAGCAATGTTGATGAGACCTTGGAGTCAAATAACAATTTTTTACTTTCCCAAGAGTCACTTTTCCCTTTTTTTAATATGTCTATGACTCTCACAGATGCCACTGATGACTTCTGAGTAAAATGTTCACATGCTTGTTTAAATTTTCCTGACGTTGTGAAGGGAACTCCCAAATAAATATACCTTTTTGTATAGTCCAATATACTGTCATGCCAATACAATGGTTTGAGCTGTTTAAGCCGTGGAGATTTGTGGAAAACAAGAGTTTTAGATTTGTCTACATTTAATGTAAGAGAATTGTTGCTGCAATATTCTTGTAATATTTTGATATTCTTTTGCGCTCCATGCCAATTATTACTTAAAAGAATAATATCATCAGCTAGAAGGAGCATTGTTACCTCGTGTGAGGTATCTATGCTTACCCCTGCTGCTCCTTTGTCATGAAAGTATTTAACTATGTTGGAGATAAACAACAAAAACAAGGTTGGGCTCAGACTTTCACCTTGTAAAAGTCCTAAGGTGATGTCAATATCATCCGAATGTTGACCATTAACTGAAATTTGGGTTGAGGCATTGTCGTACAGCATTTTAATAATTTTTATGATTTTTCCTCCAACTCCTAAGGTAATAAGCTTTCTCCAAAGAAGTCCATGATTAATTGAATCGAAAGCTTTTTTGAGGTCGATGAAGGTGGCATATAGATATCTTCCTTCTGTCTTAAACGTTATTCCGATTAGCGCTGAGATGGTGAAGATATGATCAATGCAACCTCTTCCGCTCCTGAATCCTGCTTGTTCTTCGGTTATTAGATTCTGAGAGTCCGCCCATAGCATTATTCTCCTTGCAATGATGCTGGTAAATAATTTAGCCATCGTGTTCAGTAACGATATGCCTCTATAATTATCAATATCGCTTCTATTACCTTTTTTAAAAAGTAGGAAAAGTTTGGATTTAAACCACTGAGTAGGTAATTTTTCTTGTTCAAGTACAGTATTGAATAAATGCAAAATGTAGTGCTCCCACTCTGGGGTGAGGTTTTTGAAGTTTTCATAAATTATAAGGTCCGGTCCTGGAGATTTGTTGTTTTTAGAAAGATTAATACAAAGCTGCAGTTCCTCTTGTGTTAAATTCCCTTCCAGAATTGAGTTGGTGTTGGGAATGAATTCTAAACTCCGAATTTTCTTCTGTCCATAATGTGTCCTATAGAATTTGCTCCATTCCTCCATGGTTACTGCATTTTCATTTGGTTTGTATGGTTTCAAGGAATTGACGGTTTTCTGAAACTGTTTGCTATTTTTTATATCCTGGAAATTTTTTATAATTTGAAATCTAAATTCTTTTTTCTTGTTCCTAATTAATGTTCTATGGAAATTCCTTGTTTGGATGTAGTCTTGAAACACTTGAGGAGGAAAATTTAATTTAATTAATGCTCTATATTTTCTTCTAACTTCCCTTTTCAGATTATTGCACTCTGAGTCAAACCAGGGTTGATTAGGCTGAAACACTATATTCTTCGGTGGTTTTTTGATCACGAGCATGCCGGCAGAAGACATATTCTCCTGCAAGCATTCAACGAAATTCTTATAGAGCTGGTTTACATCATGCGAATTATAGTAAATTTTGTCACTGCAAGCTAAATTTGTTTTGAATAATATGCTTTGGTTCTCATCCCATTTCACTTGTTTTTTGGGTTCCATACCAATATAATTAAACTTTCGAGAATTCGGTAAGCTTACATGTAGTTTCACGGTAGTAGCACAAGCTAAATGGTCCAGAAAATCAGACATGGCTATAACTTCCATATCACCTAAAATCTCGAGTGCCACATCGTTGATCCACACTAGATCAATAGTGCTTTTATCAACATTAGAAATAAATGTAAACTTTCCAGGTCTGTCAGAGAGGGTCCTGCCGTTACATAGTGTGAGACCTAATGATTCCATCGCTTCCACTAATTGTTTTCCTCGCCTGTTAACATGTTTATGGCTGTTTGTCCTTGTAGCGTATAGATTTGAATTGTACAACATTTCTTCTTCCAAGAAATTTAGGTCACCTACATGACTGTTAAAGTCACCATTGATAAACAAGCAAGTGTCTGAAAAATTGAGTAGTAATTCCGTAATAGTATTATATAGATCTTCCAGTATTATATCCATATCACATATAGGAGGCAAGTAAATGTTTCCAATTGTTAATAATTTGTTATTAATTTTAATGTTGACAAAAAGCCAGTATCGGTTGGCATATACAATACTTGTTCCTGAAGTCATGGAGCTATGAACTAGGGTTAGCAAACCACCGCTGCCGCGCCCTGTTGTGTTTACTTTGACAGCTTTACTGCTAAAAGGTGTATAATCATGCAACCATGAAGGTAAAGAGAAATTATCATTAATCACCCAAGTCTTCACGAAACACAATATGAGATACTGCCTTATAGTATCACATTCTTTTAGTGTAAATTTAAATAAATTTTTTAAACCATTTATATTGCAAAACAAAATATGATGTCCATGTTGTTGTACATTATTGGAGTAGATAGTATTACCAAGTCCTTTCAGTGAATCGTGAACAGGTATCAGGCCGGAGGAGATGGGTTCGGTCCGTCAGGACGACTTACCCATTGCTGAGACTGATGAACTACGTGGTCGAAATTTAAACTTATCTAGTCTATTTTCAGCTTTTCTTTTCTTTTTTGTTTGTTCTTCATCAGATGTTTCCAGTGGGCCCGCCTGTGATAACGATATGGGGATATCAGCTTCAGATTCATTGATTATGTCATCTACTTCTTTCATTTTATAGTATGACCCTCTTATTTTGAAAAAACCTTTCCTATAAGACGCTTTGCTATCAATAGTTTTTAATTTGATTAAGCATGCGTGAACTTTTCTCCCTTCTCTTTCTTCGGGCGTCTTACCATGGCTTAAAAATATGTTTTTATTTTTTAAAATATCCCTACACTTAAAAATCTTTCGTTTCACAATATTATTGTTAAGTGACACCAATATTGGGCCTTTCCGAAGTCTATAACAGGTGTTGACTGCATAATCTGGGATCGTTATATTACACTCCGTGAAGCTGTCTATAACTTTATCGAGTATATTTTCATTTTCACTGAAAGGGATGTTATGGATCAAAAAATTGTTCTTTTTTATCTGCCGCTTTAAAAAATTAATTTCTTTTTCGAGTTTAGAATTCTTTAACTCTAGATCTTGGCAGGTATTCTTTAACCGATCACATTCTTTTAATACATCACCTATGAGAGAATTATTAGTTTCGAGGGATATTTTCATTTCATTAATAGCTCTCATTATATCGTCGTTGGAACACATTATTATGAAAAATATACGTAAGTGCTCGGCTGTGATTTGATAAGATACTGTGGCACTGACCTTCTACAGCTGGAGCGGGTGTGGTGGGGGTTTGCAGGTTCAGTTCAGTCCACTGATAAGCAGCCCAGTCCTCGCAGCAGGCTAATTTCTTTACACGTTTCTCCTATCGAAAATGCTCGGTGAATTTTAACGATATTTGAGAAATGTGTTGCTGACAGACAGAACTACAACCGTGTAAATTTTGAACTAAATTAGACGGAAAAGAACTAATGAAAAATGAGAACAACTAAGACCTGATGTATACTCGTTGCCGGCCGTGGCTAGACTCCATATGGTTTACATATATACGATTAAAAATATATATAAATGAAATAAAATCATGTGGAACTTGTCGATTAATTGTTAGTGAACAATTGTAATTACAAAATCCAATAAGCATAGGTACGGAAGTTTGAAAATGAAGTTGGTGGTGGAATAAGAGTTGTTTATGGAATTTATGGATGAGAATTGCTGATAGGTAAAGAATTCCAGAAGGAGGTAGAATGAATGACGAAGGATTTGCTGAAGGATCTAGTTTTATGAGAATGGATATATAAACCAATAGGTTGAGATCTGGTATTAATAGAGTGGATAGAGGAACGTAGAGTGAGGAGTTTCATGATTTAGGGAGAATTTTTGGTTCTTAGGACCTGGAGAAGGAAAACACCAAGAAAAACTTGTTGTTGGGAGGTGGGATAGAGCCACTTCAAGTCAGTGTACTAGGAATGTAGTGTATTAGGAAAGATGAGAACGCTTGGGAATTCCAAAGATGAATCTTATAAGTCTCTTTAATTTCATCTCCAGTCTTTCAGACAGCCCTCCATATACCAAGCAAGCGTAGTTGAAGTGGAAGAGAACAACAGAGGTTACAAGGAGCTGTCTGGTTTTTTGAGGAATAGAATCACGGTATCTAGTTGTACACTAATACAATAATTCAATACAACTCCTAAAGTTGTTTAAGGACAATTATGGATTTTTGGACTATCTAGGAAATATGGTTATTCCAGGAAAGGTTCTGATCAAAGATTATTCCTAGAGTTTTAGCTATTGGGAAAAAATGGATGGGGCAGTTATTGAGGTAGAGTAGAGGAGAGGAAAGAAGGGAACTAATAAAATGTCTGGAACTGATGAGAATAGCCTTAGTTTTATCTGCATTCAACTGTAACTCTTTCATTTCTGTCCATCTGTTGATGCAGTCAATATCATTTTGTAGCTTTTGGGTAGTTTCAGGCATCTCAGAAGTTTGGAAAGATTGGTAAATTTGGAAATCATCGGCATATAAGTGGTAACGAGAGTGATTAATGGATACTGTCATCTGAAATCGTAATATATGTGTATACTTTAATTTATTTTTTAAAAAAATATAATAGAAATAGGTATATTTTGTTGTTAAGAATAACACATTTTATCTATGTTATATTGTTTTATCTGCTACTCTTTGTAGGCATTTCATCCCAACTGCAATATTTCAGGTGATATTTTTGTCACTTGCATTAAATTAACCTTCTCAATGGTTTACTGTGTGAAGGAAATAATAATAATAATACTAGAAAAGAAGTATAATAAAAAATCAATGTAAGTGTGTGTCAGGTGATGGCACAACTATACATTGATTGATTGATATATAAAAAAAAAAACTTAGAGAAGAAATATGTGTAATAATGTGTAGTTATATGGTTTTAACTTTTAAATAAAATTAGAGTTTTTTGGTTAATTTTAGCTACATGGTAAAAATATTTTTATTCAATGTATGTTTGTTATGTGTTGTCTAATGAGTGTTTTGACAATATTTGATTAACTATTAGATCAATTGAAACACAGCAAGACATTTCTTCTTCACTTTAATAATATCTACAAAAATTAAAAAAAAAAAACAACTTCAATTTAAGGCAAGGGTGAGTTGAATGGAATTGGTGGTAATTGGTGCCATCTTGTGATGTTAGCCTGCTCTTTCTTATCTATTTTATTTTGTATGATGCCTCCTGCCCATACAGGAGGCTCTCACTCTCGCCCTCCCTCCATCCTCAAAGGGTTAACTGTAAACATATGTACTACTTTCCAGCACTGATAATCCATTTTATTTTCCCTCGTGTTAAAAACTTGTATTTGATGTTTGTTATTAATTTATTTTATTTTTTCGTAGATTGGTGATAGGTGTTTTGATGATAAGATGTATGAACCTGCTAAACTGCTTTATAACAATGTTTCAAATTTTGCTAGACTAGCTATTACATTGGTCCATCTAAAAGAATTTCAAGGAGCTGTGGACAGTGCAAGAAAAGCAAACAGGTATATTTCCTTTATAACATATCTGAATTGGCTTGTAGTATACTACTTATACTATACTGTTAGTATATCTTTGACTTGAAGTTTAAATGGCAGAATTCATGTGTTGAAAAAATAAAATGAGAATAATTTTTAGGTTGTTTATTATTCATGGAAATGACGGTCATCTTGCCAGTTTTTATTTTATAAAATAATCCACAACTTCAAAGATTTCCTTGTATGTTGACCACCGATAAAGTATATAAGGAGTATATACCCTCCCTTATCCATACTGTATATGTTATATGTACAAAGATTCATTACTGTGGCCTAGCCACCTTGAACCTAGCCAAAATTACTATATTTACTAACCATAAGATTTTTTTTATTTAATTACTGTAGGTATTTAGTGTTTCAAGAAAATACTTTTAAACCATTTGTCGAGGTATTGTACAATTAATACAACAGTTATCAGAAGGCCTCGACAAAGCATGTTCTATTTAGGGGTAATTTGACTTAGTGGATGAAGGAAGAGACATAGACAGGATAACCTTGAGTGTCAGGCGTATCAGCACCCAAATCACTCTTGTTCTGCTGGATAAGGGATCAACCTTAACTCACCGCAGGAGCGGAAACCACAAACGGAGGGATCAATCTCCTGACTTTGTGGGAGGATGAAACACTAGCGGAGGAATCGATCTCCTGACTTAGTATATAGAAGTACAAGTGGATGGATCAGCATCCAGACCTTGTATGGAGATAGAATAGGGAAAATGGTTAAAGAAGCAATGTGAAATAGAAGGCAGTTTGATATAGAACCAAAAGCATATATAGAATATACTGATCAAACTGCTGGGAAGGTCTGATTGATTTTTCAGCCTGAGGGCTAGGAGGATCATTCCTTTATGCAAAACATGGGTAATGACAGTCGTACCCGAATATACTGATATTATTTTTTGATCAGTTGATTTTATGTAGCTTTAACTTTATTTAATAAAATAAAAATATATTGAAAGTACGGATATAACAATAAAAAATACATTTTAACAATTAATATATATATATAAAAGTAAAACATATAAATCATCTTCTTATGCTGAGCGTCTGGTGGTGGCTATGTGAAGGGCCACTAGATCCGCTAAGGCCACTACACATTGATCAGTCTTTTATTATTCTTGGACTCAAAATATTTTTTTTTTTAAAACAAGTAAAAAACATCATTAGACTAAGCTTCTTGAACCAATCCACAGCTGCATTGGATGCATTACATTTATTCCCCCATTCTTTAATTATTATATCTTTTAAATTAATGAACTAAAAAATTATACATTTAAAGATTAATATCAACTATATTTTCTTCGTTATAAGTATGTTTGTAATTTTTAAATTTCAGTACAAGAACTTGGAAAGAAGTCTGTTTTGCTTGTGTGGATAGTGAAGAATTCAGATTAGCCCAAATGTGTGGTTTGCACATTGTGGTCCATGCAGATGAACTAGAAGATCTGATCAATTATTACCAGGTTCAGTTTTGCACTGTATTATAATTTATCCCATTAGATATTTAAAATTTGCTATTTTAAAAATAATTTATTATAAATTTATTCATGTAGAAACCACGCATAAAGTTCTACATGTGTAATAATTATATCAGGCGCCAGCAGCTTGAAGGCTTTACTTCCCATTTTGAAAATAATGTAATCTTTCATTAAAAATGTTGCTATATTTGATGTATTTACAGGTGCAATTATATTTCATACACATTCTTGGTATGTTATGCCTTTGATTTCGAATCTGTTATTATTTTAGTTATAACCAACCAAATTATTATTAATGTTGAAAATTATGCATGCTACCGACAAACGGTTTTATAACTATCCAGCAGATGTTTTGGTCATTAGGGATTAGTAAATTTTGTTTTAAATTATTTCCATTCTGAACATTTTAATTCAAATTAAAATAAAACAATGTTTTATGCTCATTTTAATTGTATAAGTAAATCATAATAATGAAATATTGTTTTTCTGATCAATCATCGCCTTGAAGATTGTTGGGTTAACATCAAATCAATTTCTTAGTTACTTTTTAAAAATTTTACTATAAATCAATAATAAGAGTAAAACTTATTGATATTTATTGTAAAAAGATCTTTGTGGTAACAATGGATTTGAGTAATGTATATATCACTTTTAACTTTTAACTCTGTCTTTTTACAAACAAAAAGTCTATACTTAAACTAACATTTTTAGCATGCATAGTGTTTATGCATCTTCTTTTAAGTATTAGAATTTGTTGCTATGACTAATATTCAATTTATTTTTTGCTCTCTATGATTATTTTGATTATTTTTTCTTTGTTGAAATTCTTTCAAACTGATCCCATGTCATGTTTAGTGATATGGTTCTAGGGTATTCCAAGTTTGTTGGATACTATGTATGCTTTAATGGTAATGGTGTGTTGAATTATTCTCTTCCTCCTCCAGCAATCTGGATGATATATTTCAAACTAATGGAACTGTTCAATACAATATTTTATAAAAAAATGTAACCATGACTTACAGATCGTTAATTTGTTTATTATTTTAATTAATATAATATTTACAATTTATTTTATGTTACTAGGACCGAGGATATTTTGAAGAGCTTATAAATCTGTTAGAAGCAGCACTTGGGTTAGAACGTGCTCATATGGGCATGTTCACAGAATTAGCTATTCTGTATTCTAAATACAAACCAGCCAAAATGAGGGAACATTTAGAATTATTTTGGTCTCGAGTTAACATTCCAAAGGTAAATTCTTTTATCCTTTTTTTTTCAGTTTATTGGTTTATAAATTTGTGCAAATTAAAAGCACCCAAACTAATTATTTATTACCTTGGAAAGAATTAGATATTTCATAAAATCACCTCTAAAATTAAGAGTTTTGTACGCTAGAAAAAAGTTTCTTTATACTGTAATTAAAAATATGAATCTCTTCTCCCAAGTTCAATATCTAGCATTATACTAATTACGCTGCAATTCAGAAATTGGTGTACGACTCAATTCTTACAGATAAGCTGTAAATAGAAAGGAATTTCTTGAAAATAGATTTTTGTTGAATGTATGGTACAAACCAAGTGAGAAATTTTCTCTTCAGAAAGAGGTGTTTAGTGGTGAGATTCTCTTACCAGTTTACTCTTTAACCTACTGTTGAACCTCTGAAAAAAATGGTAAGAGTATCTAGTATCTGAACCACCAGTACCATTTTGAAACAAACAGTCCAGCCTTCCCATAAGAAATCGACATAATAGTTCCCTGTTTTAATTATATTCACAACCTCAGAACTTGCAGCAAAACAGTTGGATTGGTCATAAATGAAGATAAAATCTAGTATTTGGTTTCTTAAAAACATCCAGGAAAGTTGTGTTTTTTCTTATACTGTAAGTAATAGTACTATATAAATGTAATAATATGTTGAAGTTACATTCCATAGCTACATATGTAAACAGTTTTCCAAATTTACCTACTTAAGAGTCTGTGGTAACCTATTAAATAAAAATAAGGGCATAAACTATAATAAGATTAATGACTGCCATGTTACTTGTTACTTTGGAATAATTTCCAGTAATTTAATGTCGAGTCGAAGATAACTTTTTATTTATCCCTTTCTGTCCTGTGCTTAACTAATGTCCGGAGACCAAAATTAAATCAACTTCGCCAAGTAGTTCAAGTTGTCACAATATTTACGCATAGAATTTTTATCGTGCTGATGACAGAACCCTTGCATGCAGGTTTAATGGTCATTGGACCAAAATTAAGGTGGTCACATTGCATTGCGAAGTATGCCAGAAAAGATATGATTATTAGTGTTATAAAAAGCCAGTACCTATCTACAGATTTTAATACTACAATAATAACAATCAAAGCTGTCATACTAATTGATTTTTTCTGTATTCTGATTACAAAAAAATATTGCAGTTGTTCTAGAATAGAATCAGGGTCTAATTGTAAAATATGATACATGGTGAGATAATTTTAAACTAATAGCTTATTCATATTTGAATTTTAAAATTTTCTAGGTCTTGAGAGCTGCTGAGCAAGCTCATTTATGGGCAGAGTTAGTTTTCTTATACGATAAATATGAAGAGTATGACAATGCTGTATCTGCAATGATGAACCATCCTACTGAGGCTTGGAGAGAAGGCCATTTTAAAGACATAATTACTAAGGTAACAGTACTTTTTATTTTTATTTATATTCTTAATTATTTAAATTGATTATTATTCAAAATAAAACAGTTAATTTTAATTAAATTAACCTATATTTCTATCTGTATAATTTCTAGCTTTATTATGTTTTTATTTTGGGTAGATATGTTTTACTCTGCTTATATTTAAAAAAATAAATAAATAAATATATATGTGTGTGTGTTTTTGTAATTCTTTACAAATACTATTTAAATGTATTTTTATTTTAATTCTTCCAGGTTGCGAACATTGAACTATATTACAAAGCTATTCAATTTTATTTGGATTACAAACCTCTCCTTTTAAATGATATGTTGTTGGTATTAGCTCCAAGAATGGACCATACTAGAGCAGTGAATTTCTTTGCAAAGGCAAGTGGTTGTATAATTTGATTATTTTCCAATTTAATATACTATGATATTGTAAATTCTTTGATGTCTTGCTTCTCATAATTGCTATTTATATATAATATACTCTAAATGAATTGGATAAATAGAAGGTACTCTAATTTATGTAGAAAAATACTGGACATTCATTATAGTTATTTAGATTTGTGTTTGCAACAGGTATTTTTTATCAATATAATTTTCTTAAATTAGAAAATTCTTCCCCAAGTTATCTAAAATAGTAAATAATTTTAAGTGAATACTCCTCTAGTCATACATAAAAACTTATTTTTATTAGTAATTCAATGGGTAGTATACTGCTTGTTTCATTGTTTCTTTTGTCAAGTACATAAATGTAAAGAAAAAACCGTAAAAACAAAATTATTAATAATTGTGGGTTGATAGTTGACTGTAGTGAATAATAAAGAGAAGGATGGTTGGGGTGATCAGTCAAAATAAAAAATATTAAAAATAAATAATGATATTTATTTTTATATTTGCCTTATAAAAATAGATATAAATATTTATTTTTAATATTTTTCATTTTGACTGATCATCCCCAACCATCCTTCTCTTCAAAATAAATAATAATAAAATTTAGTATAAATAAAAAATTAAATTAAACAAACATAGTTTTGTCTCGTGGCTCTGCAAGAGGTTCGCTGGCCAGGGGAGGGCTCATTAAGGGAAGGAAAGTACACTATTTGGTACGGAGGAAGCGGGAATCATTGTTTAGGTACCGGGTTTCTAATTAGGAGTAGATTACTATCCGCTTTGAGGGACGTACAATTCTTTAGTGATAGAATTTCGGCAGCTATATTTCAGGGACGTTGGTTTAAAATCGCATTAATAAACATACATTGTCCGACCGAAGACAGTGACGATGAAGTCAAAAGTGAATTTTACGATAAACTCGAATGGGTTTATAATAAACTACCTCAAAACTACATGAAAATAATTGTAGGTGACGCTAAGGCAAAAGTAGGAAGGGAAGAAGTTTATATTCCGACAATTGGTAAAGAAAGTTTGCACGAATATAGTAATGATAATGGGATCTGTCTGATAAACTTTGCCATCTCGAAAAACCTGATAATTAAAAGTACGACGTTTAAACATAAGGATATTCATAAATATACTTGGACATCACCGGATTCGCAAACACGAAATCAAATCGATCAAGTCTTGATACAACATAGCTGGCAAAGCAGTATAATTAATGTACGGTCTTATCGCGGAGCAGAATGTGGGTCGGATCATGAATTAGTAATTGCGAAACTTTGACAAAAACTTATGTAAAAAAGAGAAAAGAAAAACGTTTCGATTTTGAGAATTTTAATTTGGAAAAATTAAAAAATCCATCAATTAGAACCCAATTTGAGCTAGATGTTAAGAATAGGTTTGAAGCTTAAGAGCTTCCTGATGAGGATCACGAGGATATTGACAAGTTATGGGTAGAGATCAGGGATAATATTAAAGCGGTCGGTAACTCGTGTCTAGGAAAAAAGGAAAATAAGAATAACAAACCGTGGTTTGATGAAGATTCAACATGTGCGAAAAAAGAAAAGCCGCTAAATCAAAAGCTCTAAATAATCCTAGCGAAGACAATCTGGAATACTTCCGAACCTCAAAGAACGAAATGACAAAATTGCTGAAAAATAGGTATATTGTCATCGCCTCGGTTTTTTTTTTTTTTTATTTCAGAAATTTTATAATATTGCTTGTTTCTTTTGATGTTACAGGAGTGAAGTTGAGAGTGATCGGATTTCGAAGAAACATTTTTACTGTTTTATTTACTTGTTGTTATGGTGTTATGATCCGAAATATGTGATAATTCAAGATGTTGAAATTCGCAAATAGTTCCGCTTTTTCGTTAGCAGAGTAGACAAATCCGTCTAATGCCTTAATGGGTGTAATACATTGAGATCTTTTAGTGAAAATGTGATGAAATTTCCATAGAGATTTTGGACTTGGTTTAATTTCATTTAGAGTTTGTGACCATTTATGATTTTTCCAATCTTTTAATTTATTTCTAACCAGTGAATTAACTTAATAATAATATTTTACGTGGTAGGCTAGGGCAGAACTGATACTTTTTCTAATTTTATAAGTAATTTTAAGTGTGCAGAAATGTCTTAATGAAATTGTTTAAGTGATTTTGGGATAGTTATTGTCATAGCTGATTTAATTTAATTATTTTATTAAATTTCATGATGCTACATTCGATGTCTGTTGGGGATGTAGTTGTAGGATTTATTTCTAGTTGTTTATCAATTGTTTGCCGTTAAATAGGCCAGTTTACATTGTTAAAATCAAATTATGGGGTGGTTTTATTTTTGTTAATTTTCATTTTGATCTGGAAAATCACAGGGTAGTGATCTGAGTTTAGACGAGGCTGGAAGACAAGGCGCAAAATATTCGGGATATTTTTGGTGAGAGCCAGATCTATAATAATGGGTTTTAATCGGCTTTGGGTTGGTATATATGGCTGTTCTATGGGGCTATGTAATTCTATGTTATGTCTTGAAACAAGGTTTAAGAGTATTTCCCCGCTTTTATTGGTATTATGACAATTCTATTGTATATTTTTGGCATTTAGATCTCCAAAAATAATCAAATTGACCAAGTTTAAATAATTTAATTAGATCTGTTGCATTTTTTTGGTGGAATGTAGATAGCTACAGTTGTAGTTGTTTTATTATCTAACCTGAAATTGATGGCTATAGCTTCAGCATGAAGATCATCTACCAGATGATATGGTGTGAAATAGGTCTGAGCAAGCCAAGATCGTGACGCCCCCTCCCTATCTGTTTCTTTCTTTCTGGTGTGTGGTATACCCTGGTATTGAAAGATTATCTCCAGGAGCCAGCCGGTTCTTACATATTGGTTTGTTGTTGAAAAGAAATAGTTGGATTCAGAATTTCATGAGGTGTTAGCGAATCATATTCTCCACTTCTGTTTTTCTTTCTAAAATAAATTAAGTCGATACAAACATTTTGCTAGGCTTCAATACTGGAACGGTGGTAAGTCTGTAGATTGATACAGGACAAATTGGGCTTTGAAGATTTTGATGTGTACAGCAAGACTTGGATAGTTCCTTCGGAACTATCGGGTCCTACATTTTTGTTACGTTGCAATGTTATGTGCAATGTATATGTTGCAAGCCCAAAAACATACTATTTTTGAAATAATGCAAGGCATAGGATTCGCATCCACCATACATTAATTGTAGTACTGTCATTGAATACATGTCTCATTTCTTCGACTTGAGGCCTCTATGATCGAGAGAGGAGGAGTTAATATTATTTATCTATGGTGTTTTTGATCGGCAAGCCATATCATCGTTAATTCTTCACCAAATCTCAAGATTGAGCCACCAATATTGAAGGCTTCCTTCTCCTGCAGGCGGGCAAAATAGTCCAAACACCCCAAAAATTCAGGCAAACTAGTTATGAAAGAAAAGAAACTTTATTTGTGAATAACTAAAAACTTACACACTTTTTCCTTGGTTATGCCCATGTTTATGTTTCTATGGCAAAGCAGTCAACAGAACATTGCTATCCCTAACCCTATCATTACATCCCCATCCCCACATATATTATTACAGTAAGGCTCAAAATCGATTTTGTACCAAATATAAGCTCCTGTCATGCTCATATACCATGAATGAGGTACCGTTGGATTCAGAATTTCATGGGGTGTTAACGAATCGTATTCTCCATTTTTCTTTTTCTTTTTAAAATAAATGAAGTCGATAAAGAAATTTTGGTAGGCTTCAATACTGGAACCGTGGTAAGTCTGTAGATAGATACACAACAAATTGGGCTTTGAAGATTTTGATGCGTATAGCAAGACGGGGATAGTTCCTTTGAAACTATCAGGCCCTCCGGTTTAAGCCCAAAAATGTACTATTTTCGAGATAACACAAGGCATAGGGTTCACATCCACAGAACCTTATGTTAATTGTAGTATTTTCATTAAATAGGCATGCAAAATAGTCCAATAACCCCGAAAATTCAGTCAAACAAGTTATGAAAGAAAAGCAACTTTATTTGTGAATAAATAAAAAAATTTTAAAACATAACATGTTTCCCTTGGTTATGCCCATGATTATATAAAAGATTACTAAATTCTCTATAAAAAGAAACAAAAAATCATCGAAATCGGACAATTTTTAGGAAAGATACAGCTTATTGAAATTTGTAAACATGTTGGTTCCAAACATTAATGAACTTTTAAATTAATTTTTGTTTCATTGGTCGATTATATTTATTGATAAAGTAACAATTGATTTCTTTATCTTTTGATACGTTGCATTATTTTATTTTCTTATTAATTTGGCATTTAATCACTTAACAATATGCTGTGTGAATTTTTCACACGGGCTTACTGGTAGTGAAAATAAATAATTATATTTATTTTTGCCGATGTTTCGGCCCAAAGTTCAGGCCTTCATTAGGGCTAAGAAAAAACCAGATAACAATAGGTATAAGAAACCATAAACATTGAATAATAAAGAATATAAATTCAAAAGATGAAATGTAAAGACTAAAAAATGTAGTTAAAATAAACTTGAAGTAAAATGAAGTAGATAAAATAATAACAGGAACAGAGAACTATGAAATAACTGATAACGGCTACAAAGTAGTGACTAATGAAATAAACATAATCAAAATAAGGTTACATAAGAAATGAAAAATGAATTAACAACGAAAAGTAGTGGAATGAATAAGATAATAAACGTAAGTAAATGTAGACAAAAAAATAAAATAAATGGGGTGACATAGTTGCTAAAATATGAATTATAGTTTCTCATACCTATTGTTATCTGTTTTTACTTTCACTTGCCTATGTATGAAATATATAGTAAGGTAAGTATTGCGATCGTGAAAATTTTCTAATTTGAGTTTTCATCAGAAATACATGTTTTGAGGTCTCCCGAGTCCAAATAACCAAGTCCCCCAAAATGGTCTGTGTGTGTGTGAACA